TGGCATTTATAAACTGCCGGAGAGGTGGGAAAAATGTATAAATAGCAATGGACATTATTTTGAATAAAATATCTTTTATCATTTTCAAACAACAGACGTGTAATTTTTACAAAAAAAATTCCGGTTTCATACTTCTACACCTGGTATATTTAAACAAATTGGGAACGTTCGAAAAATATACGTTTTAGAATCTTTAATATATATTTTACAGCCTTTAATATATATCTTACGTAGCAAAAGTGTCGCAGCATCACAATTATGCTATTCTGTTACAATTCCAATTTTTAATTAAAATATGTACATCTTGAAGTTTGATTATGTCTATTTATTAATATATTAATATCTTTTAGCAATTAATATATTTTTTAAATAATTTCTTATAAATAGACATAATCAAACTTCAAGATGTATATATTTTGGAATTGTAAAAATGGAATTGTAACGGAGCAGTATAATTGTGATACTGCGATACTTTTGCTACATAAGATATATATTAAAGGTTCTAAAACGTATGTTCTTCGAACGTTACTACTTTGTTTGAATATAACCAAACCAATGAGCGTAAAGTGAGCGTTCCTCGAACGTTTACGTGCTGCTTCGGATACGCATATTAAGAAAATCAAATATATCTTATTTAATGCTGAAACGAGTTCAAACATGTGTTCAAATGCTTATTAAAAGATGTGTTTGAGTGTTCAAAGACTTTTGTATATAACGATTTTAATAATTTCTTACGTATTACCGCGAGACAATAATATTCCAGCAAGCATATCACCAACGTTGATTCCACTATTTCTACCATACATAGTTCATTTAGAACATCCTCGATGCTGGCTGAAAATCTGCAACATCTTTTAATCTAGATTCTACCTTAATTTAGTTATAAAGAGTTACGATTTCTCGCTGACAGAATTAATTATAACGATTTTTTTATTAATTTCTGCAAAGTGCAGGATGTAACTGCTGAAAGCTAAGCTCGTGTCATTGTTTATTCTTCTTCGTCTATTCTTCTTTAGACAATTCTTTATCTTCATACAATTAGAATAAACTTGTGATTGTACATCATTATGTTTTACGTATATATACTTCATTAATTCTCACTATGTAAAATATATATACAGTAAGGTACGGTCGCTCGGAGATGTTTAATTATTCCAATTGCTGCTAATTAGGCATTTCCTCTTAGAAACCTCTTAGAAATGGATGCCTGCGACCAAATGTAAACACATTACAATTGTAACACTCACCTTAACGCCTGTACATGATGGTTCACAATGATCCCTATGCCAGATTTCTTACGATTGTTCTGGACACCTTTCACTAGACATTCCACACGCGCCATCACAATCCCGATCTGGCCGCAGGCGTGAGCGACGAACGTAGCAGCCAAACAACACACCGCCGTGGTGATGTTGAACATTATGATACTGGTCATTAATTGCGCGAAAAAGACGAACGCGTAAGCCGGCAGAAAACGCAGATCGAACAGGATGTCAAAGCCGGGATATGTTACCGGGCCGAAAGTAATATTCACCACGTTTTCAGGTCTCCGTGACAAGAATGGTATCACGGTGTTATAACACAGACCCCCGCAATATATAAACGACATACAAAACTTAGACAGCGTGTGCCCTTTCATCGAGTCCTTTATCATGATCGTTCGGTAATCCTCTTCCTGGACTGTGCGCCAATCGATACCCAGAACGTGAATGCACCGTCGAATGCTTCTATGACGAATCACCAGTAACATGTACTTCATCACCGAGGCGACCACATAGCCCAATGGACCTAACATCTTTATCTTGTCGCTGATCTCCGTCTGATCCGAAAGAGTGTAGATAGTCATGGGTATGAGAAGAAAGCCGAGAGCGGACCAACACACCGAGAACGAGATCGTCGCTAGGATCTTCTCGATCGTCGAGGTATCTGGAAACATCAACGGCCAGATCCCGAGGATTCGCATTACCCGTCGACACCACATCAACGCGTCGATGACGTCACTCTTATAGTTCACATTCGACCAGGGGATGCTACCGATTTTGGCCATGCTATCGTTCTGAAGGTGCGACAGCGACTGCTGTATATTGCCGACTGCGCTGACGATGACAAGTCGCGCATGACCGCTGCATAAGCTTTCAGACGGGGGCGGGAAACAATGACATACGTATGGTGGAATAATCGATTTTGCCGGAAGAGAGGAATTGTGGCAGTTGCATGCTACCGCCTACCAAGGAAGCCGTACATTGGCGGTATGTAAAATCGATGAAGTTGCCTCCCGATTTTTCCAAATAATAAAAATAATAGTAGAGAGTAGAACAATTTGTGTGCATAATGGTTTATTTAACTCGTGTACATTTTTATTTTGACAGATGTTCACTTAACGTTAGAACTTCGTAGCAGAGATGATACGATGAATGTTAATTTTTTCGTTGTTGCCATAGAGGAATTGAGTCTTTCGCGTTCATCAAACTACAGTACGCAGCAAGTTTAGATACGCGACCGAAGTTTTCAGAACCTATAAATCATAATAGGACGAAACATATTATGTGACGAATTTGAACATGTTTTTCCGTCCTTGAAAGAATATTGAAAGTACTTACGTTACCGAAACTAGAGAACGATAGGCTGATTAATTTTCCGGCGGTAATTTTTATCGGATTGTGAGACATGCTGATCATCAACGTGAGATCAAGTGCAATTTTCCCTGGTAAGTGATACCACTCGATTTTGTACGAAGTATATCCTACTTTGCTGCACTAAATATTTAATTTGACGTAATTTTCAATGGCGTGTAATGTATAGCGTAACAATCTTCGTAATTAACATATTTTAAATATTATCAAAATTTTTAACTTATTGTTGTGTTATCTAAAATTTGCAAATGTAAACACCTGGTCTGTAAGTAGTTCACCGATGTAACAAAACATGAATATATTGAAGACGAATGACGTCAATAGAAAAAAATATGTCAGGATCGCGACGCTGTCACTGTTTTGCCATTCCTGCGAGCATGACACAATTTTTTTACTAGATTATTATATTATGTTATTATTCCATTAGATTACAAGTATAATATTATATTTATATTTTTATTCAGTTTCACATTTAACACAAAACATTTTGCGTGATGTTAAAAAAAATTATACTACAATCATAATAAAAGATATCTCTGTTTAGTGCCAAAAATGCAAAATACGCGAATGTGTAAAAATATGATCCATAATAGTTTAACCCTTTGCACTCGAGGGCTCCGGAGCGGAGCTATTTAAAATTTGTCTTCAAACTCTTCAAACTCAAATGCAAATAGCAAGAGCGGAATATCCTATACACAATAGTTTTTACGATTTGTCTTTGTTCTTATGTTATGAACTGAAAATTATTTGCATTGTCTCCATAGCGGAGCCCTCGAGTTTGAAGACAAATTTTAAATGGCTCCGCTCCGGAGCCCTCGAGTGCAAAGGGTTAATTACATGAAACAAATAAATAATAATTTTTATGATTTCTTATATGTTACCGTGAGACAATAATATTCCAGCAAACATATTATCAATGTCGATCCCACAACTTCTATGAGACATATTTCACTTAAGATACCTCCAATGCTGGCCGAAAATCTGTAATATCTTTTAGTCTGGATTTCGTTTCATTATATAAGTTATACATATATTTATCTTTTCATCGACAAACGTGATTATAATGATCTTTCTTTTCATTTCTGCAAAGCACCATATGCAACTACAGGAAATTGATCTCGTACAATTTATATATTTCTTAACACTCCTTATATTCATAAAATCAGAAAAACTATAACCATATGCTTCTATTCTTTCGTATCTTTATTTCATTAAACTGGGAGATTTCTAGTTTTTAGTTTCTTCCCATCGCTCAAATCACGAGGCAGTTTTAAAAACCACGGATGTCCGTAGTCTAGTGCAACAGGTTGCAGAGGTAGCACTCACCTCAACGCGTGCACATGATGCTTTACAATGACGGCCATACGATGCTCAGGATTCGTGCGATTACTTTGCACACTCATCATTAGACTTTCCACTCGCGCCATTACGATTTCAATTTGGCCGCATGCATGAGCCACGAACATGGCAGCCAAGCAACACACCGCCGTAGTGACGTTGAACATTACGATACCGGAGAAGCATTGCGCGCAAAAGACAAACATGTAAGCTGGCACGAAGCGCAAATCGAAAATGATGTCGAAGCCGGGATACGGCACCGGGCCGACGGTGGCATTTTGCTCGTCGCCGGCTCTTTGTGACAAGAACGGCATCACGGTGTGATAAGACAGGCCACCGCAGTACATAAACGCAACACAGAATTTAGACAGCACGTGTCCCTTCGCCGAATCCTGTATCATGATCGTTCGGTAAGCCTCTTGCTGAACTGCGCGCCAATCGACACTCAGAACGCGAATTCCCCGCCGAATGTTCCTATGACGAACCACTAGGAACATATACTTCAACATTGAAGTGAGCACATAACCCAGCGGACCCAGCATTTTCACCTTGTCGCTCGTTATCGTCCGATCCGAGAGAGTAAAAACGACCATGGGTACCAAGAGAAAGCCGAGCGCAGACCAGCATAGCGTGAATGAGACCGTCGCTAGGATCTTTTCGATCGTTGAGGTATTCGGAAATACCAGCGGCCAGATCCCGAGGACCCGCAATATCCATTTGCTCCACACCAACGCACCGATGATGTCCTTCTCGCAATTTACATTTGACCAAGGGATGATGACGGTTTTGGCCATGCTATCGTCTCAAAAGTGCAACCGCTACTGTTGCAGAGTGCCGACTGAGCTAATGGTGAATAGTTGCGCATGACTACTGCACACGCTTTCAGACGGGAAAAGTAAGGGTTGACATACGTACGATGGAAAAATCGATTTTGCCGGAGGGAAGGAACTGTAGCAGTTGCGTGTTATCACCTGCAAGGAAGCGGTGTTACGTCGGTTGCATGATCGATCGATTCGCTTCCTGGTTTTCCATATCCTTTATGTCACTGGTATAATCTACTTTTAGTGCAAAATAATGAAAGAATAGTGGAGAGTAAGAGATAATGCTGTACGTTTATTAATAAACATTGTTTAGAGTACGTGAATCACAAGCGAACTAGAGTTTTCGTCACTTTTCAAATGTTCCAAATAGATTGTTGAATGGATAAGATTTATAGTTCCAGTGCAAATCTTGTAGCTGGAACTTGCGGACAATATTGTATAATCTGTAACGTTGACGTTACCTGGAGATTATTATACTTGCCGAGGTAAAGATGCGAGTAAATTCAAATATAACTATGCCGGCTCGTTTGGTACGATTTGTGCACACAATGATTTATTGAATTCGTATACATTTTTATTTTGAGAGTGATTGATTCAGCGTGAAGCTTCAGCAAAGAGGATACGCTGAATGTTAATTTTTTCATGGTTACCATGGAAGAAGCATCAAGACGTGTCTTTCGCGTGCATCAAACAATAGTTCGCAGCAAGTTTAAATACGCGACCGAAGTTTTCAGAACCTATGAACCGCAACGAAAGGACAACGACATATGTGACATTTTTCAACATGTATTTCTGTCTTCAAAGGAATACTGAATAGCACTTACTTTACCAAAACTAGAGAACGAGAGGCTGATCAATTTCCCGGCGGTAATTTTCATCGGATGGTGAGACATGCTGATCATCAACGTGAGATCAAGTGAAATTTTTCCCGGTAAGTGATACCATTCGATTTTGTACGAAGTGTATCCCACTTTGCTGCACTAAATATTTAATTTCACATAATTCTCAATGACGTGCAAAATATAGCGTGTAGAGCTTCACAATTAACACAATATAAGTATTTAAACTAAATCATTACGTTATTTCTAAAATATGCAAGTATAAACACCTGGTCCGTCAGTAGTTCACCAATGTAACAAAACATGAATATATTGAAGACGAATGACATCAATAGAAAAAAATATGTCAGAATGGCAATGCTGTCACTGTTTTCCCATTCCTGTGAGCAGGACACCAATTTGCTTAATGGATGTATTAATATTTCATTAGATTAAGGATATAATATTATATTCATATTTTTATTCAGCGTTATATTTAAAATAAAATATTTCGTTTGGTGTTAAAATTATACTATACATATATGAAAAATCAGGTATCCATTTTTGGTGCTAAAAGTGCGAAGCGCATATATGTGTAAAAATATATATTATAATAAAATATATATTTCTCTCTGAAAGTAATTTGATTTCATGAAATCAAATAACGATTCGTATAACGTCTTACGCATTACCGTGAGGCAGTAATATTCCAGTAAACATATTATCAACGTCGATCCCACAATTTCTACCAGACATATTTCACTTAAGATGTCCTCAATGTTGGCCGAAAATCTGCAATATCTTTTAATCTAGATTTTATTTTATTATGTAAGTTATATATATAGATTTATTTTTTTTATTGATACAGGTGATTGTAATGATCTTTTCTTTCATTTCTGCAAAGTAGAGGAAATATGCAAATATAGGAAATTAAATTCGTTAGTCTTCACTTCTTAACATTCTTCATCGACAATCACAAAATAAGAAAATTCTGCAACTGCGAATGCTCTCGTTTTCTTATATCTTTCGTATAAAATTCTAAGCGTATGAATGATGGGACATAGAAATTTTCCATAGAAATCGCGGACGTCCACATTCAAGCGCGATCAATTTGCAAAACCAGCACTCACCTCAACGCGTGCACATGGTGCTTCACAATGACCGCCATGCGATGACCGGAATTTTTGGGATCGTTTTGCACACCTTGCACGAGACTTTCCATTCGCGTCATCACGATCTTGATTTGGCCGCATGCGTGAGCCACGAACATGGCAGCCAGGCAACACACCGTCGTGGTTACGTTCATCATCACGAAACTGGAGAAGCATTGCGAGCAAAAGACAAACACATAAATCGGCGGGAAGCGCAGATCGAAAATGATGTCGAATCCGGAATACGGTAATGGGCCAACGGTGGCATTCCGCTCGGCGTCGGGTCTTTGCGACAAGAACGGCATTACAGTGTTGTAACACAGGCATCCGCAATACAAGAACATTACACAGAATTTGGACAGCATGTGCCCATTCACCGACTCATTTATCATGATCGTTCGGTAATTCTCTTTCTGGACCGTGCACCAATCGATACTCAGAGCGTGAATGCATCGTCGAATGTTTCTATGTCGAATTATTAAAAGTAAGTATTTCAGCATTGACGAGAGCACGTAGCTTAGCGGGCCCAGCATTTTCACCTTGTCGTTTATCACGACTTCGTCCGAGAGAGCGAAGACGGCCATGGCTGCGAAGAGAAAACCGAGCGCGGACCAACATAGCGCGAACGAGATCGTCGCTAGGATCTTCTCGATTATTGAGGTGCCCGGAAATACCAACGGCCAGAGCCCGAGGATTCGCAATACCCACTTGCTCCACACCAGCGCATCGACGATGTCGTTCTCGCAGTTCACATTCGACCAAGGGGTGGAATCGATTTTGGCCTGCATGCTGCAGTCCCGAAGTTACGACAATGACTGCGCTATCTTGTCGATTGCGTGAACGATAAAACGCTGCGCATGACTACCGCCTGCTGCTTTGCAGCCGGAAAAGGAAGGGGTTGACATGCATACGGTGGAAAAATCGATTTTGCCGGAGGGAAGGAATCACTATAGTTATAAACTGTGACCCGCGAGGAGCGTTCTACTGGCGGCATATGAAACTGATTATGCTGGTTTACGTCCTTCCATAATGTGAAAGATTCTTTTGGAATTAAATAATGTGTGAGAAATAGCTGGGGACAGAAAAATAATGGCGCGTTTTAATAAAAATATGTACGCGAAATATGATCGCTTTTTAGATATTGATTTTTTGCTTTTGTAAGTTGAGAGTGAAACTGATACTTAAATCTTGAGTATTTCTTCTCTTCTTACTGATTCTAGGATTTATTTTTAATTTCCCGCAGATGTACGTACCATGTGTGCATCAAGTGTTTTATTTAACATGCGTACATTATTATATTAAAAAGGGTCCTTATTTATCATAAATTACCTTTTCACCACGTCAAGATGATATGAATTATTCTTACGTTGATACTTTTGTATATATCAAACCGCAGTTCGAAGTAAATTCAAATACGCGACCGATGTTTTTAAAACCTGCAAGAATGGGGGAAATATTTTTTAATACTTGTTTCGGTCGGCTGTGTGTACATAAACATTCAACTTGACTCAATTTGATCATTATCTTCACGAAATGAATTGCGCTTTTGTCTTTGATATAAAAAAGAATTGTGTACTTACATTGCCGAAATTAGCGAAAGAGAGACTTATCATTTTTCCAGCGGTGATCTGTACCGGATGACGTGATATTGCGATCATTAACATGAGATCGAGAGCGGTCTTTCCTGATAAATTGTACCACTCGATCTTGTACGACGTATATCCGACTTTGGAACACTATTTATTAAATTAATATTCACGCACTTACAACCTAGACTTACTGATTACGTTACGCTAGCATTAAAAATATCCAAAACTCGGCTAAAATTAAAACTTGCGTATTTATCAATTTGCCTTGGTACATAAAATTTTAATTCTAAGCACCTGTTTCGTGAGCAGTTCACCGATGTAACAGAATATGAAAATGTTGAAGACAAACGAGAGAAACAGAAAGAAATACGTGAAGATTGCTATATTGTCGCTGTTATTCCACTCCTGTGAATATGAAATAATATCTGTAAATATCTCGCTGTCTCGGAGGAAACCTATCGTCTAGGCGTCATTGCAAACTTTTGCACCGTTTGAAATATATCCGATACGTCGTTACCGTAATCAGTGAGTATTCTACTAGACACATTATCAATGTCGTCCCCACCATCTCGACTAGACATATCTCGCGCAAAGTATCCTCGATGTTGGCTGAAAATCTGCAAAATCTTAGTCCAGCTTCCATCAAATCTTACGAACTACAAGCGGACTCGACTTCAGTTCTCATCGCCTCAAAGTATCCCGGACAGATTGTCGAGCTTTTTATTCGTCCGACAAGATACACAGAGTGTTTTACGCGCAGACCTTTTAGCTCGAACGGATGTGGGTAATTTCGTTCGCAGCAAGCTGCAACAAGTAGCGAGGTACTCACTTCAACGCTCGCACGTGATGCTGCACGATAATCGCCATGCACCGTTCAAACTTCACGCGGCTGCATTGTTCTTCACCCTTTATGAGATTCTCCACACGATTTATCACGATGTCCATCTGACCGCAGGCATGGGCCACGAACATGGCCGCCAAGCAGCAAACCGACGTGGTGATGTTGAACATGACGACACCGGTGAAGCACTGCAGGCAGAAGGCGAACACGTAAACCGGCATGATTTGCAAATTGAAGAGAATATCGAAGCCGAGGTAGGCCATTGGTCGGACGGTGATGTTCAGTTCGTTCTCGGGCGTCTGCGACAGGAACGGCATCACCGTATTGTAGGACAGGCCGCCGCAGTACATAAACATTATGCAGAATTTGGAGAGTAAGTGGCCCTTCGTGGCATCCCTTATCATGATCTCCCGATGGTAGCCCTCCTGGACCATGCGCCAGTCGGCGCTGAGGACTCGGACGCATCGGCGGATACTCTTGTGACGTATCACCAGGAGGAGATACTTCAGCATGGAGAAGAACACGTAGCCCAGCGGGCCTAGCATCTTCATCTTCTCACCCATGATACTCCGGTCCGAGAAGGTGTACATGCTTGTGAGCACCAGCAGTAAACTGAGCACGGTCCAGCACAGTGCGAACGAGAATGTCGCCAGAATCTTCTCGATCGTCGTGGTATTCGGGTACACTAACGGCCAAATACCGATAATCCGCAGTAACCATCGATTCCACATCAGAGTATCTACCACGTCCTTCTCGTGTTTCACATTCGGCCACATTGGTACCTTGGCCATGTTATCGTGTGGAAGATGCGCGAGCGACTGAGCGTATTATATCGATTGTGGTGACGCTAGAAAATTTGCGCATGACTGGCGCAGATACCTTCAACAATAGGCAGTAAGGAAAGGAGAAGGGCTATACGCGCTGGAAAAATCGATCTGCTCGGGAGGATATCTGCTCTCGGTTTTATTTTACCTGCGAAGATGATCATCACTTTGACAGATGCATAGTAAAATTAATAGTAGATAGTAGAAATAGTAGAAGTAGTAGTAGTAGTAATAGTAGAAGAAGTAGTAGTAGTAATAGTAGAAGTAATAATCCTGCTTGTATTTTGGGATATTTCCCGACTGACCATTGCGGCATGAAGCGCGATGTGGAAAGTGCGTGGAAAATAGGACAGAAGTTGCGACAACGGGCCGGCTATTTTTATTGTAAGAAGTATGTCAGTATTTTTCATTTAGATAATAATTGTGTAAAATGTGCAAAACTGTTGAATGCATATTATGCATGTTAAGCCGAATAATAACACGTTCAACGTTTATGAAACGTACATTCGGTTCTTTTCGTGAGAATGCTAAAGAATATTGAGAACATAAATTGTAGTGTATATAATATTTTATCGATGGGACATACGTTATTTTATTAACAATTTCTGTACAATATCTGTTACGATAAAAATATATATGGCGAATTTTTCAAATAACAGTGCAATATATATATATGATATAAAGTTTAAAAATCTTATTCTGTAACTGTCCGCAGTAAATTTAAATACACTACGGACGTTTTAAGTACCTGTGGAAATGACAATCTATTAGAATTACACAAGAGATAATAACGTTCAATTAAGTATTATAGAAATGCATTTTTTTATAAAAATCCTTTGCGTGTTGTCTCCAGAAACAAAGAAATTAAATTGCTCGTTTATTAGTAATTAATTAAATATTAACGATAACACTGAAAAACTCACAACTCCGAAGGTATTTATAGACAAATCGACAAATTTGCCAGCTGTAAGTTTGGGTGGGTAATGCGACATTGTGATAATCATTACTAGATCAACAGCTTTAGTTCCGGATAAATCATACCAATTGACATCGTACGCGGCCGAGCTAATTTTGCTGTACTGATGAAAATATAAAAAATTAAAACGTTGCATATTGATTGCAATTAGAATAGATTGACAAGTGCGATGCCATGAAGATCTATGAGAGTCTGTTTATTCCAATCAAGGATACCTGATCCACGAGGAGCTCGCCGATATAACAAAATATCAGAATGTTGAATGAGAAGGCTACCAAGAGAATGAAATACGTCAAGATCGCCACGGCGTCGCTATTTTCCCACTCCTGAGAAGGCAAGGAACGTTTGAGACTCGTGTCTCAAAAGTTCGAGAGTGCGGATTTACTCGGTAAAAGGCGAGATAGGAACTTGTACAACTGTCAGGAAGACTAACGCGTTATCAGGACGACGAACGATTACCATACTCTCTTTACCGTCATGCAATAGTACTCGAGCAAGCATATGGTCAAGGTGGAGGTCACCAGTTCCATTAAGCATACTTCACGTAACACTTCCTCCACGTTGGTCGAGAATCTAGAAACGTGTCATTTATCCGTGCCGATATCTCATGGAGAAAACAAATTTTGCTGGAACAGCAAATGTTCGTCAATATAATGACAGCAGAGAAAAATTTGTTTAGACATCAACAAATTTGTCTGGACAGTAGAAAGATTTGTTAAGAGTATTAATTGTCCATATATCCAGCAAATAGCAATTAATACATTTAAAGAATCCTTCTGCCGTTAAAACAAATTTTTCCTCGCTGTCAATAAATTGACAAACATTCGATGTTCTAACAAAATTTGTTTTCTCCGTGCCGGCAAATGTTACCGCCGTCACCTGCCCAGACGTACCTACCTCATTTTCTTCCCACTCACCTCAGCACTCGCACATGCTGCCTCGCTATAATGCCTAAACGATTATCCACGGTTGTGCCCCTGTTCCTCTTCCCTTCCACTAGGTCGTCCAGCAACGTAATCAGTATCTGCACTTGGCCGCACGCGTGTGTAACGAAGATTGCGGCCAAGCTGCACGCCGCCGTCGTGATGTTGTACGTGATTAGTGCGAACAGACAATGGATGCAAAACACGATCTCGTAAGCGGGACTCGCCTCGGGGTCGAAGAATATGTCGTAGCCGGGATAGGTGAGCGGTCTGCTGATGAGGCTGCCGTTGACCTTTATTGTGGAAGACAACGGCAAGATCGTGTGGTAAGCCAAGCCGCCGGTATAAAGGAAAAGCGCGCACAACATGGTGAGCCTGCGGCCCGTTGACGCCTTATTCAGCATGATCTCGCGGTGATCTTCGTCCCGCACCGCCCGCCAGTCATCCTCGACATGATGAATGCACTTCCCGAACGACGTCGCGCGTGCCCCGAGGTAGCAATATTTAATCGTGGAGGTCAGGCAGAATCCGACCGGACCAAACAGCTTGACTTTCACGTTGATATCTTTTTCGCGGAGCAGTGTGTACAGACCGGACGGTATCAGGACAAAGCACAGGGTAGACAAGCAGGTGACGATCAGGATCACCGAGAGGAGCCTGTCGTACTGTGAGAAGTGACCGTAGATCAGATGCCAGATGCCGATCGGTTTCAAAACCCATCGGCACAGCTGCATGGTGTACCGTATGTCGTCCTCGCGAGGTTCATTGCGCACCTGCCACGTCCCTTCTGTATGCCGGGATCGACTGTGCATCCTGCCGTTCGCGCGGTGTAACACTGACTGAAACACGCGATCGGCCGTCCTGACGACGCCCGCAACGAGCGCGGCGCAAGCGCGGGGGAATAATGATTCCAGGATCGTGTGCAAGTGCACATCTTTCGTGGTTCTATCTCTATCATGTGTGCTCAAGTCATGCGTACGCGACGGATTGACTCTCCCCTAGTCATTACGTGCCCAAGCGTTCAGTCAATGACATGCAAATGCGGAGGGATTGGAAGTTTATGACGAGTTCGAACATAGTTGTACGGATTTCCCGCGTAACGCCGGTGTGTTCTGAACGTGTGCGTGACGTCGACGTTGGGATTTCGCGATTTTTTAAAATAGTGTCTGATAATTTTAATAGTACGTAATTAATAAGATATGAGTATTTTCTTGCATAACATGTTTCAACGCTGATAGGAAAATTTTAATAATTACATATATCAGGATTATCATTGTGGGAAAATATTTATTGCCTTTCCACGCCAGTTTTAACTAAATTGTAATGGTATTTCAATTAATATAAATTTTTTACATATTTTGAAACTGACGAAGCAATAAATGTTTGATTGACTAGTATGTATTATTTTATTACCAACTCTTATATCGGTGTATCTATTGGGATAAAAATATCTACATATCTATCTATTAAAACCTGCTATTGAGAACTACAAAAAAATGGAATTTCTATTCGGTAACCGTCCGAAGTAAATTAAAATATACTACGGACGTCTTAAGTACCTGAAAGCGATGCGAGCTTTAAGGATATGAAAATCTGTTTTTCAATATCTGATATAGAGATATAAGTAAATAAAACAAGTTACATGCAGAAATAAAAAAATTTAAACGTTAATATTAATAATCCGTGGAACTCACCGTGCTGAAAGTATTGAGGGATAAGTCGAAGAATTTGCCAGCAGTAAGTTTCGGTGGATAATGTGATATCGTGATAATCATTACGAGGTTTAGAGCTTTATGTCCAGGTAAATCGTACCAATTAACTGCGTATGCGGCTGAATCAATTTTGCTGTACTAATGAAAAACGTCTCTTAATATGATATTCAATCATATATACGCATTAGTATTTTTTTCAATATAACGATCAAAATATATATAACTGTATTTATAGAAATCATGGAATATATATCTGTAAAATTTCTTTTTTTTATTTCATAAAACCGAAAGAATAAATATAATTACAAGCCGATTAAAAAAATGATTTTTTAAATTATATACATTATATAAAAAATACCTCTTCCACTAGTAATTCGCCGATGTAGCAAAATATCAGAATATTGAACGTCAAGGAGACCAATATAATGAAGTACGTGACAATGGCAATAGTCTCGCTATTTGCCCATTCCTGAGAAAATTAACGCACATTAAAATATCTACAAATTATTTATCGTAGTAGAATTCTTATATAATTCAAATTACTATAATTTAATAAGACGTGAAACTCTACAACATGAAACACATAAAAAATACATAAAACACATTTACTTAATATCACTGTGATCGATTACCCTCTATCTTTTACCATCATGCAATAGTATTCCAAAAAGCATATGATCAAGGTCGCAGCCACCAGTTCCATTAAGCATATTTCGCGCAACACTTCCTCCACGTCGGCTGTAAATCTAGAAACGCCCCACGTGTCTATCTATCGTGAAATCTAAAAACGCAGTGCAGAGAACCACTTCCGCTTCCGTTTCTTTCAGTACATTTTCATCTCACCTTAGCACTCGCACATGATGCCTCGTTATCACTCTCAGACGTTTCTCCACGGTGGTGTTGTCGTCGTTCCTTTTCCCGTTGACCAGATTATTTAAATGCGTCGTCAGTATCTGCACCTGCCCGCATGCATGGGTCACGAAAATTGAGGCCAAGCTGCACGCCGCTGTGGTGATGTTGTACGTGACCAGTGCGTACAGACAATGGATGCAAAACACGATCTCGTAAGCGGGACTGGCTTCGGAGTCGAAGAATATGTCGTAGCCGGGATAAGGGAGTGATCTGATAATGAGGCTGCCATTGACCTTTATTGTGGAAGACAACGGCAAGATCGTGTGGTAAGCCAAGCCGCCGGTATAAAGGAAAAGCGCGCACAACATGGTGATCTTGCGGCCCGTTGACGCCGTATTCAGCATGATCTTGCGGTGATCTTCGTCCCGCACCGCCCGCCAGTCATCCTCGACATGATGAATGCACTTCCCGAACGACGTCGCGCGCGCCCCGAGGTAGCAATATTTAATCGTGGAGGTCAGGCAGAATCCGACCGGACCAAACAGCTTGACTTTCACGTTGATGTCCTTTTCGCGGAGCAGTGTGTACAGACCGGACGGTATCAGGACAAAGCACAGGGTAGACAAGCAGGTGACGATCAGGATCACCGAGAGGAGCCTGTCGTACTGTGAGAAGTGACCGTAGATCAGATGCCAGATGCCGATCGGTTTCAAAACCCATCGGCACAGCTGCATGGTGTACCGTATGTCGTCCTCGCGAGGTTCATTGCGCACCTGCCACGTCCCTTCTGTACGCCGGGATCGACTGTGCATCCTGCCGTTCGCACGGTGTAACACCGACTGAAACACGCGATCAGCCGTCCTGACGACGCCCGCAACGAGCGCGGCGCAAGCGCGGGGGAATAATGATTCCAGGATTGCGTGTAAGTGCGTTTCGTGTATTTGTCTCTATCATGTGTGCCCAAGTCATGCGTACGCGATGGATTGATTCCCTCTAGTCATTACTTGCCCATGCGCTCAGTCAATGACGTGCAAATGCAAAAGACTGGAAGTTCACGACGAGTTCGGACATAATTGTACTGGTTACCGCGTAACGCCGGTGTACTCTGAAGAGTCGTCGACGTGAGGATTTCGCAATTTTTTAAAATAATGTCTGATAATTTTAACAGTAAGTGTTTAATAAGATATGAATGTTCTTCTTGCATAATATGTTTCTGGACTCTGATAGAAAAATTTTAATCGTTACATGTATATAATTATTATAATTGTGGGAAAATATTTGTTTCCTCTCGCCGCCAGATTTGATTATATTGTAGTGGTATTTTAATTAATATGGATTTTTTAATTTCGATCAAAGGAATATAAATTTATATGTATTTTGAACTGATGAAACAACAAATGTTTGATGGACATATGTTTTATTTTATTACCAACTTTTGTACCGGTACATCCGTTGGGATAAAAATATATATTTACCTATCTTTTGCAACCTGTTGCTGTTACGAACTACAATAAAAAATAGGGAATTTCTATTCCGTAACCGTCCGAAGTAAATTTAAATATACTACGGATGTCTTAAGTACCTGAAAACAATGCGGGTTTTAAGAATATGAAAATCTGTTTTTTACTATCTGATATAAAGAAATAAAAGTAAACAAAATAGATTACATGCAGAAATAAAAAATGTTAACGTTAGTAATAATTATCCGTGGAACTTACCGTGCTGAAAGTATTGAGGGATAAGTCACAGAATTTGCCAGCAGTAAGTTTCGGTGGATACTGTGATATCGTGATAATCATTTTGAGGTCGAGAGCTTTATGTCCATGTAAATCGTACCAATTAACTTCGTACGCGGCTGAACCAATTTTGCTGTACTAATGAAAAATGTCCATTAATATAATATTTAATCATATGTATGCATTAGTATTTTTTTTTCAATATAATGACTGAAATATACAACTGTATTTATAGAAATCATGGAATATACACAAGTAAATTTTTTTTTATATCATAAAACTGAAAGAATAAATATAATTTCAGGCCGATTTATAAAACGGTTTCTTAAATGTTAGAGACGTTGTGTAAAAAATACCTCTTCTACTAGTAATTCGCCGATGTAACAAAATATCAGAATATTGAACGTCAGGGATATCAATAAAATACAGTACGTGACAATGGCAATAGCGTCGCTATTTTCCCATTCCTGAGAATATTAGCATACATTAGAAGTCTACAATTTATTTACCATAGAAAAACTTTTACAAGACTAAATTCACCACAATTTAATAAGATGGGAAACTACATAGTAAAGAGCACATAAAAAATTCATTCAATTAACATCAATGCTATTGATTATCCTGTTTCACTTACCATCATGCAATAAAACTCCAACAAGCATATGATCAAGGTCGCAGCCACCAGTTCCATTAAGCATATTTCACGCAACACTTCCTCTACGTCGGCCGTAAATCTAGAAACGCCTCACGTATCTACCGCGAAATCTAGAGACGCATTGGACAGAACCATCTCCGTTTTCGTTTCTTTCCGTACGTTTATATCTCACCTTAGCACTCGCACATGATGCATCGTTATCACTCTCAGACGTTTCTCCACGGTAGTGTTCTCGTCGTTCCTTTTCCCGTCGACTACATCGTTTAATAGCGTTGACAGAATTTGTACCTGTCCGCAAGCGTGCGTTGCAAAAATTGCGGCCAAACTGCACGCCGCTGTCGTGATGGTGTATTGGATAACAGAGGACAGGCAATGCATGCAGAAGACGATTTCATAAGCAGGACTGGCCTGAGAATCGAAGAACTGGTCGTACCCAGGATATACCAGCGGTCTGATCGTGAAGCTGTCGTTCATCTTCACTTTCGCGGACAACGGCATGATCGTGTGATAGGATAACCCGCCGGTGTAAAGGAAAAGCACGCAAAGAGTGGTAAGTCTGCGACCCACCAGCACGTTCTTCAGCATCATATTGCGATGATCCGCGTGTCGGACGATTCGCCAGTCGTCCTCTACGTGTTCGATGCACCTGCCGATCGCCGTACCACGCGCACCGAGGAAGCAGTATTTGACTGCGGAGGTTAAGCAGAAGCCGATCGGGCCAAAGAGCTTCACCTTAACATAAATGTCCTTCTCACGGAGCAGGACGTACGAGCCGGAAGGCACGAGCACGAAACAGAGCACGGAGATACACGTGAAAATCAACGTGGTTGGGAGAAGCCTTTTATTTTGCGACGAGCGGCTGTGGACGAAATGCCAGATGCCGATCGGCTTTAGGATCCAACGGCACAGCTGCATGACGTAATGTATGTCGTGCTCGTAGTGCACATTGCGCTTCTGAATACCTCCCAAAATTCGGGGTCGGCTGTGCATGTTATCGTTCGCGGGGTGAACGTCGACTGAAACATCGATCGGCCATTCCGACGATGTCCGCGAGCGTGACGCAAGCGCGGGGGAGTAATGATTCCAGGATCATGTGCAGTTGCGTTTCGTGTCTCTATCTTTATCGTGTGTGCTCAAGTCATGCGTACGCGACGGATTGATTTTCCTCTAGTCGTTACGTGCCCCAGAGTTCAGTCAATGCCCCAGAGTTCAGTCAATGACGTGCAAATGCGGAGGGATTGGAAGTTCATGACGAGTTCGGACATAATTGTACGGATTTCCCGCGTAACGCCGGTGTGTACTGAACGCGTGCGTGACGTTGGGATTTCGTAATTTTCTTAGATAGTGTATGATAATTTTAATACTACATAGTTAATAAGATATGAATGTTCTTCTTGCATAACATGTTTTATAACGCTGATAGGAAAATTTTAATCATTACATATATCGTGATTATAATTGTGAGAAAATATTTGTTGCCTTTCCATGCCAGGTTTGATTAAATTGCAGCGGTATTTCAATTAATATTAATTTTTTATATATTTTGAAACTGACGACGCAACAAATGTTTGGTTGATTATTACGTATTATTTTATTATAAATCTTATACCGTTATATCTATTGGGATAAAAATATCTATCTATCTATCTATTGTAACTTGCTATTTGAGAACTACAAAAAAAATGTGAAGTTTCTATTCCGTAACTGTCCGAAGTAAATTTAAATATACTACGGACGTTTTAAGTACCTGAAAGTGACGCGAGCTTTCAGAATATAAAAATTTGTTTTTCAATATCTAATATATAGATATAAGTAAATAAAACAAGTTACATGCAGAAATAAAAAAAATTTAAACGTTAATAATAATTATCTGTGGAACTCACCGTGCTGAAAGTATTGAGGGATAAATCGAAGAATTTGCCAGCCGTAAGTTTCGGTGGGTAATGTGATATCGCGATAATCATTAATAGGTCAAGAGCTTTATGTCCAGGTAAATCGTACCAATTAACTTCGTACGCGGCTGAACCAATTTTGCTGTACTGAAAAATATCCATTAATATGATATTTAATCATATGTATGTATTAATATTTTTTTTTCAATATAATAACCAAAATATATAACTGTATTTATGGAAATCATGGAATATACACAAATAAAATTTTTTTTATATCATAAAACTGAAAGAATAAATATAATTAGAGTCCGATTTATAAAACGGTTTCTTAAATGTTAGAGACGTTGTGTAAAAAATACCTCTTCTACTAGTAATTCGCCGATGTAACAAAATATCAGAATATTGAACGTCAAGGAGACCAATATAATGAAGTATGTGACAATGGCAATAGCGTCGCTATTTTCCCATTCCTGAGAAATTTAACGCACATTAAAATATCTACAAATTATTTATTGTAGAAAAATTCTTATGCATTTCATATCATTACAATTTAATAAGACGAGAAACTATACAATAAAAGACACATAAAGAATACATAAAAAATCCATTTACTTAACATCACTGCGATCGATTACCCTATTTCCTTTACCATCATGCAATAGTATTCCACCAAGCATATGATCAAGGTCGCAGCCACCAGTTCCATTAAGCATATTTCGCGCAACACTTCCTCCACGTCGGCTGTAAATCTAGAAACGCCCTACGTGTCTATCTACCGCGATATATAGAGACGCAGTGCACAGAACCACTTCTGCTTCCGTTGTTTCTGTACATTTTCATCTCACCTTAGTACTCGCACATGATGTCTCGTTATCACTCTCAGACGTTTCTCCACGGTGGTGTTGTCGTCGTTCCTTTTCCCGTTGACCAGATCATCTAAAAGCATGGTCAGTACCTGCACTTGTCCGCACGCGTGCGTCACGAAAATTGCGGCCAAGCTGCAAGCTGCCGTCGTGATGCTGTATTGGATAATAGAGGACAGGCAATGCATGCAGAAGAGAATTTCATAAGCGGGACTGGCCTGAGAATCGAAGTACTGGTCGTACCCAGGATATACCAGCGGTCTGATCGTGAAGCTATTGTTTATCTTCACTTTCGCTGACAACGGCATGATCGTATGATAGGATAACCCGCCGGTATAAAGAAAAAGCACACAGAGCGTGGTGAGTCTGTGACCCAGCAGCGCGTTTTTCAGCATCATCTTGCGATGATCCGCGTCCCAAACGACACGCCAGTCATCCTCAACGTGTCCGATGCACCTGCCGATCGCCGTGCCGTACATACCGAGGAAGCAGTATTTGACTGCGGATGTTAAGCAGAAGCCGATCGGGCCAAAGAGCTTCACTTTAACATAAGTGTCCTTCTCACGGAACAGGACATACGGGCCGGAAGGCACGAGCACGAAGCACAGCACAGAGACGCACATGAAGATTAATGTGGTCGAGAGTAGCCTCTCATTTTGCGACGAGCGTCTGTGGACGAAATGCCAGATGCCGATTGGCTTTAGGATCCAACGGCAGAGCTGCATGGCGTAACGTATGTCGTGCTTGTGGTGCACATTGCGCACTTGAATCTCTCTCGATTGTCGAGGTCGATACTGCATGCTTCCGTTCGCGAGGTATAACGTTGACTGAAGCACACGATTGCCCCTGGTACGTCCGTATATCCCCGAGCGCGACGCAAGCGCAGGAGAATAATGATTCCAGGATTGTGTGCAGGTGCGTTTCGTGTCTCTGTCTCTATCATGTGTACTCAAACCATACGTACGCAACGAATTGATTCTCCTCTAGTCATTATGTGCCCAAGCGTTTAGTTTATGACGTGCAAATGGGGAAACATATGTTTGATTGACTATTATGTTTTATTTTATTACCAACTTTTGTACTGATATATCCGTTGGGATAAAAATATATATTTATCTATCTATTGCAACCTGTTGCTGTTAGAAACTAAAAAAAAATATGGAATTTCTATTCCGTAACTGTCCGAAGTAAATTTAAATATACTACGGACGTCTTAAGTACCTGAAAGTGATGCGAGCTTTAAGAAAATGAAGTTAAGAATATGCACATCTGTTTTTCGATATGGGATATAAAGAAATAGGTGAATAAAACAGATTACATGAAGAAATAAAAAGTGTTAACGTTAATAATAATTATCCGTTGGTACTCACAGCGCTGAAAGTATCAAGAGATAAATCGACGAACTTGCCAGCTGTAAGTGTCGGTGGAAAATGTGATATCGTGATAATCATTAAGAGGTCAAGAGCTTTATGTCCAGGTAAATCGTACCAATTAACTTCGTACGCGGCTGAACCAATTTTGCTGTACTAATAAAAATTATCTATTAATATGATATTATATAATATATATGCATTAATATTTTTTCTTCAATATAACGATCAAAATATATAACTACATTTGCCGAAGTCATGGAAAATACGGAACAAAAATTTCATTCCTTTTTATTTCATAAAACTGGAAGAATAAATATAATTATAAGTCGATTTATAGAAAACAGTTTTTTAAATGTTAAAAACGTTATGTAAAAAAATACCTCTTCCACTAATAATTCGCCGATATAACAAAATATCAGAATATTGAACGACGTGGATACTAATAAAATGAAGTAAATGAAAATCGCAACAGTGTCACTATTTTCCCATTCCTGAGAAAATGAACGTACATTAAAAAATCTACAATTTATTTATCGTAGAAGGACTTTACGCGACTAAAATCACTACAATTTAATAAGACTAGAAAGCTGTACAACAAAGAGCATATAAAAAATCCATTTACTCAATTTAAACTTAATTCACTAACAAAAAAATCCTTTCACACTAATATTACTTCGATCTATTTCCCTTACCATCATGAAATAATATTCCAGCAAGCATAAGATCAAGGTCGCAGCCACCAGTTCCATTAAGCATGTTTCGCGCAACACTTCCTCCACATCGGCTGTAAATCTAGAAACGTCCCACGAGTCTATCTACCGCGAAGTCTAGAGACGCACAAAGCCACCTCCGTTTCCGTCTCTTTTTATACGTTTTCATCTCACCTTAGCACTCGCACATGATGCCTCGTTATCACTCTCAGACGTTTTACCATGGTGGTATTCTCGTCGCTCCTTTCCCCGTTGACCAGATCATCTAAAAGCGTCGTTAGTATCTGCACCTGTCCGCACGCGTGGGTCGTGAAAATTGCGGCCAAGCTGCACGCTGCAGTCGTGATGGTGTATTGGATAATAGAGGACAGGCAATGTATGCAGAAGACGATCTCGTAAGCCGGACTGGCCTGATAATCGAAGTACTGGTCATACCCAGGATACACCAGCGGTCTGATCGTAAAGGTATCGTTTATCTTCACTTTCGCGGACAACGGCATGAATATGTGATAGAATAACCCGCCTGAGTAAAGGAAAAGCACGCAGAGCGTGGTAAGTCTGCGACCCACCAGCACGTTCTTCAGCATCATCTTGCGATGGTCCGCGTGTCGGACGACCCGCCAGTCGTCCTCTACGTGTTCAATGCACCTGCCGATCGCTGTACTGCGCGTACCAAGGAAGCAGTATTTGACTGCGGAGGTTAAGCAGAAGCCGACCGGGCCTAAGAGCTTCACCTTCACATAAATGTCCTTCTCACGGAACAGGACATACGGACCGGAAGGCACGAGCACGAAGCACAGCACGGAGACGCACGTGAATATCAACGTGGTCGACAGTAGTTTCTCATTTTGCGACGAGCGGCTGTAGACGAAATGCCATATGCCGATCGGCTTTAGGATCCAACGGCAGAGCTGCATGGCGTAATGTATATCGTGCTCGTGATGCACATTGCGCACATTGCGCACTTGAATCCTTCCTGAATGTCGATCGTGCATGCTATCGTTCGCGGGGTATAACGTCGACTGAAGCACGCGAACGCCACCGGCACGTCCACATATCCGCGAGGTGACGGGGAAGCGCGGGGAAATAATGATTCCGTGGTTGCGTGTGTGTGAGTTTCGTGTCTGTCATGTGCAGAAAAGTTAAAGGACATTGTGTTGCAACCGTGCACGCAAAGGGTTGCCCATTTCCAGGTCATTGCTCGTCCGAGGGTTCGATGATGTGGGAGAGTGCGTAGAGAAACAAAGTTCACATGGAATTATGATGTATTTGCACAAGTATACAAATAACTCCGGCATTTATCGACGTGCGTAATGCAACTTTGTGCACGGCGCAGTTGCAATGCGGCGGTAATTATGTAGGATGTAACTGTGCATTTCGCACAATATTTCATAATACATACACATAGGTATGTATATTGAAAGGAAATGTTAGATTCAAGTAAATGTACAATTACTCCAGTATTCCTTAGTAAATTTTTACTTGGATTAAGTAAACTTTTGTTGAACCAAGTAAATATTATTTAAACGTAGAAAAAGGTGCTACGTTCAAATAATATTCATTTAATGCGGTATACATTTCCCAAGTAATATTGGAGTAATTATTGAAATTATATTGGAGTTATTTATTTGAATGTAACACTCTTTTTTCTGTGCAACATATACGCAACACTTTGCTTATATATTCTATTAAATTTAATTAGTTTTCTTCTTCGATCTTGATCCCGTTAATTACACATAATCTTAGATAAATTTAGCCCTATTTATTTCAAAAATTTAGTTAGCATACATGAATAATTATTTATGAAACATGATTCAGTAGCAAATAGATATTTAATCTAGCGCATATTTAACTTTTATTACGTACGTTAATTTACTATCGTTGTTGTGATACACACGGTAACAAGAAGGATGTCATATCAGACGGTAAAAGTACGAAGTAAATTCAAGTAAGCTAGTGATGCTTTCATGACCTAAAATGTGATTTGGTTTCTATCGCATTAATTTTTTTCACGCTCTGTAATTAACATTTCATTAATCGATTTCTATACTCACACTACAGAAACTGGCCAAAGATAAGTCCATGAATTTTCCGGCTGTGAGTTTGGTCGTTGTATTGGACATGGACATCACTAACGTTAAACCGAGTGCTCCTTTACCCGGCATACGGTACCAATCTATCATGTAAGACTTTATTCCGATCTGTATACACTGTTAAAAAGTAATATTTTTCACAACATATTAACGTTTTTTCACCCAGCCTTTCATTTCAAAGATTAAAAAGATTTTCGTATATCAAGTTCGACAGAAATGTATGAGGAAGGTGTGAGATGTAATCATGGTCCAAGTACCTGTTCGGCTAAAAGCTCTCCGATATAACAAAGGATAAATATATTGAATGTGAAAGATATGAGTAACGAGCAGTAGGTCATCGTGCCTATAGTTTCGCGATGTTCCCATTCCTAGAAGGCTAACATCAAAACGTCATGAGCGCGAAATCATTGAGATATTTTATTATGTTCTCGATAGATCACTTGATAAGTAAACAATCAAATGTCTGAGGGTCAATTATGTTTCGTACCGTCATCATATTGAATCCTAGGAAACATATGTTGAGCGTGCACCCGACTACATCCACGAGGCAAATCTCGTTCAAAAGTTTCTCAGTGCGAGTGATAAAACTGCAAGTCACATGATTAAAGTGGGGAAACGAGTCAAAACTTTTTTCCAGGTATTCCACACGAAAATGATAAAATCTGTGCGATAACAATATATTGACATAATACCATAATCACACAGCTTCGAAGTGCGCTATCGGTTATAAAAAAAATTTGTATCATTTTTAAACGGTATATTAAACGTAATATCAAGATTCTAATATTTTTCGCGGCAAGAAATTTCTTCTCCATTCGTCGTAAACAATTTAATTTCCCCCACCAATACATTTCCATTCACACACATATGTTAATCGGGTGAACCTGTCAATAGGTAAAATTTCATGAATACTTTACCTAAGTATCCTAATGTGACCCTTGACGATGTCGCCGAGTCTCCCATCGGACGTACTACTGGCGCTTTTTCTCGCCTTGCCGTCCGCGAGGTCCTCCATCTTCAGCATGAGAATCTGGGACTGTCCGCATGCGTGCATGACAAAAACTGCGGCCAGACTGCAAACTCCGATGGTGATCGTGTAAATGACGTAACCGGCCAGAGCTTGTAGGAACTGTACGACCTCGAAGGACGGGCTGTCCCGTGGGTCGAAGAGGCCGCGGTAGACCGGGAAGGCGTGCAGCTTCACTGTCTCGTTGTCGATAAGCTCCGTTCTTTCCGCGAAGAGCGGCATCAGCGCGGTGTAAAACAAGCCACCGGAATACATGAAGGCTGCGCTAACGAAGGACAGCCATCTGCCGAACCGGGCACTGTCGAACATGATCTCTCGGTCCTTCTCGTGGCCCAACTCGGCGCGGCTCCAGTCCGAATGGACGTGCCGAATGCACTCGCCGATGTTTCCGTTGCGGGCGATGAGGATGTAGTGCTTCACCACGGCCATGAGGAAGAAGCTTAGCGGACCGACCATCCGGAGTTTGCTGTCGAGATCAGCGGCCACCAGGATCGTGCAGAGCGTGCATGGGAGCAGCAGAAATCCTATGAGGAAGCAACTGTTTATTATCAGGATCACACAGCTTATTTTCTCCATCGTGGTCTCGCAAAGAGACAGCGGCCACGCGCCGATCGGTTTCAGGAACCAACGGTTCAGCTGGATGCTATAGTTCCAGCCGTCCGTCGTGGACTTGAAGGGTCTCGAACGATCGTGCATGGCAATGACGAAATCACGACGATACTGAGCACCGAAGACTGAGCGTGTCTGCCGAGGGTGAACTGATAAACGTGCGCATGTGCGTCTTCCGACCACCCTTGAGCAATCGTACGTGAACGCAATGATTCCTGCTCAACCCTTCCCGTCCGGGAGTTTCATTATTAACGATGTACGTCGGGGGTTTGTGATTCCTAGAACATCGTTGCGTGATGCATGCGAGCGATCTTGAAGGGATGCAGGGTAAGGAAGCAAATATGCCAGGAAGGGTTCCTGTGCTATTTTTGCAATTCGCAAGCGAAGGGGAATATGTAATGCAACGGGATCACGTTTTCTGCTTTGTAGTTTCTCCGGCGCATCGAGTACCCGCGACCATGTGGTCTGGTCATTTTTTACTTCCTACATTTACAGTATTCCCCATAGTTCCATTGATGTGGATTACAGTCGGTGTGATGTGTGTAACAATGAGTGTAATGAAAATAAATGTCTTTCTGAATGAAAATGTGGTATATTGGCGATTAAAATTATATACAATGTGTAAAAGGTATGTATAATAGTTACATTCACTTTATTTCACTTTTCTACATGCACAATAAATATAAAAATCTATGATGTAATTTGTCGTAACATGTTTAAATACGTTACCGATGCTTTCATAACCTATAAACAAGAATTGCATTACATCTTCGATTTTAAATAAATTTGTATTTCTAAAACAATTGTAATTTACGTTCATTCCCACAATATGTAACATGACACCTTCCTTTTTTTGAGTATTTGAGCGTTATAAGCCCATGAACAATATTCGAAACTTACATTCCCAAATGTGTACAAAGACAAATCGACCATTTTGCCGGCGGTAAGATGGATATTGAAATTGCTTCTCATATTTATCAGAAGAAGACCGAGAGCAGTCTTCGGAGGTAGACGATACCACTCCGTCATGTAAGTCGCCATACCAACTTTTCTATACTGTTACAGGATTTAATGTCACACTCCTACTTCTAAGTCGGAGTTGAAATAATACTTATCATTATCTTATGCATCAAATATGCGTGATAACACTATGGGGAAGTTTTTTATTTCTAGCACTATTTTGATAAAATTATACGGAATGCTAATGAAAATGTTGTGTTACTTGTTCGCTGAGAATTTCTGCAATGTAGCAAATTATAAAAATATTTATCGTATGAGATAAGGCTATTACACAATACGTCGGGATCCTTTCTTTGTTGTTCTCATTCCATGCCTGAAAAATGCAGATGTAACTTATGACAATATCGTGTCGGTACAATTTTATCGTTTCCGCGCACCACTTATACGGGGCTGCTATTTTATTTCTATATGACTATTTTGATCATTGCTTGTAATTCGTCAACCGTGGTGCAATTTGTTAAAATATATTTTATATTAAATTTTCAAATTCCTTCTAATTCTGTTTAGCATACCGTGATAGAAGAGTATCCGAGGATACACAAAATCAGAGAACCTCCTATCAATTCCACCAGACATGTCAAATATATTACTTCTTCTATATGAGATACAAAGCTGCAAATATACATTTAATGCAAACAAATGTATATGTGTGAATTTTGGAAGAATAAATGTTTCAAATTTATACATAATATATTGTGATTACTGGCCGAAGTAACAGGGAAAGTTATTTGTGTTGAAACACCATAAGTATTGTTGTTGAATGTAATAAAGTAATTAAGAAGATCTAAATGATTAGAATAATTCGAATAATAAGAAGGATCAATTTTGCCTCCTTACTTTAACACCCGTAAATGATGGTCTACGATGAAGCCTAGCTTTCGCTGCATCGTGCGAACATCGACAATAATATCATCGTGTGTAATATCGCCAAGCCACATCATTAGGATCTTGAGTTGCCCGCATGCGTGCATTACAAAAGTTGCCATTAGACCGCAGTTGACACTACTGATACCGCTGACAAGAAAAGTCACTGCGATTTGCATAAACAATACCATTTCATACATCGGACTGAAACGCGTGTCTAAGATTTAGTTGTAGGACGGAAAGGGTAGTTCGCGAATTGAGACACTGACGTTATCCACATTCACGACATTTTTCATGAAACACCTGCTGATGTTAAAGGATTGTATGGCGCGGTGCATGAATGTGGCAATGAAAGTTGCCATGAAGCGACCGATTTTAGCGTCCTTCAGCATCACCTCGTGATCTTTGTTGCTTCTCACGGTATTCCAATGCAGCTCAATGCTATCCACGCAGTTGCGTATGTCGTCGATATGTAACACCAGGCAGATGTACTTTAAAAGCGCCATGAGATGGCCTATGAAGGGACCGATGTTCATCATCATTAATATTATATCTTCGCGTTCCTCGATAAAGGTACCTAGACCGATGTTCAACACAGCGATGAATAACAGCGAAAAACATGTAAGTCTTGAAAATTTTGAGAAGACTCGATCGACAGTTGACACATTGTGCGAGTGAGGCCAGAGGCATATTGATTTTAGCAACCAACGAATTATCCGAATATCGCGTTCTTTGTCAGCTAAATAAGTGGTGAAGGACTCGCGATCGTTCATAGTATCGTCTATGGGATTGACCATGGTCAATCACTGAACGGTCGCTTTAATGTTATCCTTCGATACGTAACGCTTGCGGAATAGCGCTTGATTGCGCGGTGATTGCGCGCTATACAATGTTGAAGGTGGCCTGGGTATTTTCAGAATAGCGTGCAGCTCTTGCGGCAACAGGTAGAAGTAGCACATAATCGATACCTGGAGCTGAAGTTTCCTGTGCCGGATATTGTAGTTTCGTGCACGCAACTTTACACACATCGCAGCTATTGTGTTTCGGTAACGACATGAAATAGTTCTTATTCTTGTCAACGAAACATGACAAGATTTAATAGCAAGTAGGTATTACGTTAGCGTATATTTAATATTAAAAGTGTGTGCTGTTTCAGAGAACTAATGTATATAATATAATTCAGAACTAATAATTATAGTACTTGCCAGTAAGGAGGCTATTATATCAGAATTTAAAATTGAGGTACCAAGTAAATTAAAATAAACAGGTGCGCCATCTAAAATGTTTAATTTCTTTCACGATTATTTTTCTTACGCTACGTGTGGTAAACACTTTAGTGATTAACTTCTATATTCACGCTATAGAAATGAACCAAAAATATGTCCATGAATTTGCCAAATATAAATTGATTCGTAGAATTCGACAAGGACAGCTCTAGTTTTCAAATTCATAGAAGACTATCCGAGGATACACATTGTCAGTGAACATTCTGTTAATTCCACCGTTGAACCACCGGCCAGTCGCCCTCTACGTGTTCGATCTGCCGATCGCCGCGACTCGCACACCTAGAAAGCAGTAATTGACTACGGAGGCAGAAGCCGATCGGTCCGAAAAGCTTCACTTTTACTAATAATAATAGTCATTCTTGCAGAAAAAGACGTACGAGCCAAAAAGTACGAGCACGAAGCACAGCACGAAGATGCACGTGAAGATCATCGGCTCGAGAGTATTCTCTCATTTTGTGACGAGCGACGAAATGCCAGATATTGATCAACTTTAAGATCCAATGGCAGAACTGCATAGCGTAACGTATGTCACGCTCGTAGTGCACATTGAGCACCTGAATCCCTTCCAAAACTCAGGGTCGATCGTGCATGCTGTCGCTTGCAGGATCTAACGCCGACTGAAACACGCTAATACCGCCGTCTACACATTCACGAGGCGACACGAGCGCGGATAAATATTCCGTGATCGCGCGCGTGTACGTTTTGCGTCTGTTATGTGTAGCAAAGTCAAAGGACATTGTGTTGCAATCGTACACGCGAAGAGTTGCCCCTTCCTCCAGGTCATTGCTCGTCCGGGGGTTCGATGATATGAGAGAGTGCGTAGGGACACGAAGTTCACGTGAAATCATGACGTAATTGCGCGGATATACACGTAACTCCGGCATTTGTCGATGCGCGTAACGCAGTTTTGCGCACGGCGCAGTTGCAGTGCGGCGGTAATTATGCAGGACATAATCGTGCATTTCACACAATATTTTATAATATATACACATATGTATGTATATTGAAAAAAAGTGTTAGATTCAAATAAATATTATTCGAATGTATTAAAAAGTGCTACGTTCAAATAATATTCACTTAACCCAAGTAAAAATTTACTAAGGAGTATTGGAGTAATCATTTATTTGATTTTAACACTTTTTCTTCTATTAAATTTAATTAATATTCCTTTTCGGTCTTGATCCCGTTAATTACACATAAAAATCTTAGATAAATTAAACCTATTTATTTCAAAAATTTAGATAGCATACATGAATAATTATTTATGAAACATGATTCAGTGGCAAATAGATATTTTAGCTAACGCATATTTAACTTTTATTACGTACGTTAGTTTTTTGTCATTGTTATGATACACACGGTAACGAGAAGGATGTTATATCAAATCTTAAAGGTACGAAGTAAATTTAGGTAAGCTAGTGACGCTTTCATGACCTAAAATGTGATTTGATTTCTCTCGCGTTTATTTTTCTCACGCTACGTGATTAACACTTCATTAATGGATTTCTATACTCACGCTGCAGAAACTGGCCAAAGATAAGTCCATGAATTTGCCGGCTGTGAGTTTAATCGTGGTATTGGACATGGACATCACTAACATTAAACCGAGTGCTCCTTTACCCGGTATACGGTACCAATCTATCATGTAAGATTTTACTCCGATCTGTATACACTGTTAAAAATAATGTTTTGCACAGCATATTAACGTTTTCTCACCGAGCCTTTCATTTCAAAGACTAAATCGATTCTCGTAAATCCAGTACGTCAGAAATGTGTGGAAGATATGTGAGGTGTAATCATCGTTTAAGTACCTGTTCGGTTAAAAGCTCCCCGATGTAACAAAGGATAAATATATTGAATGTGAAAGATATGCCTAGTAAGCAATATGTCATCGATCCTACAGTTCCGCGATGTTCCCATTCCTAGAGGACTGACATGAAAACGTAATGAGCGCGAAATCACTGTGGGATTTTACTATGTTCTCGACAGATTACTTAATAAGTAAACAATCAAGTGCTTGAAAGTCAATTATGTTTCGTACCGTCATCATATTAAATCCTACGAAACATATGTTCAGCGTGCATCCGACTACATCCACGAGGCAAATCTCGTTCAAAAGTTCCTCAGTGCGAGTGATGAAACTGTAAGTCACATGATTAAAGTGGGAAAGAGAGTTAAAACTTTCTTCCAAGTATTTTACACGAAAGTGGTAAAACCTGTGCGATAGTAATATCTTCACGATAATATCGCTATAATCATATACGTTTGAAGTCCGCTATCGGTTAAAACCAAATTTTTCTTAATTTGAGACTTTATACATTTTTTAAATTTAATTTCTAACTTTTTAGTGTATTAAAAGTAACATTTAGATTTTAATATTTCCCGTGGAAACAAATTTCCTCTCTATTCATCGCGAACAATTTAATTTCTCCATCAACGAATTTCAATTCTCACTCATATATTAATCAGGAAACGCTGTTAGTAGGTAAAATTTTATCAACTTTACCTAAGTATCCTAATGTGACACTTAACGATGTCGCCGAGTTTTCCATCGGGCGTACAGTTGGCACTTTTCCTCTCTTTACTGTCCACGAGGTCCTCCATCTTCAGCATGAGAATCTGGCACTGTCCGCATGCGTGCATGACGAAAACCGCGATCAGACTGCAAACTCCGCTGGTGATCGTGTAAAGGACGTAACCGGCCAGACCTTGCAGGAACTGTACGATTTCGAAGGATGGGCTATCCCGCGAGTCGAAGAGGCCGCGGTAGGTCGGGTAGGGGTGCAGCCTCACTGTCTCGTTGTCGATGAGCTCCGTTCTTTCCGCTAAGAGCGGCATCAGCCCGTTGTAAAACAAGCCAGCGGAATACATGAAGGTCGCGCTGATGAAGGACAACCATCTGCCGAATCGGGCACAGTCGAACATAATCTCTCGGTCCTTCTCTTGGCCCAGACCGACGCGGCTCCAGTCCGAATGGACGTGCCGAATGCACTCTCCGATGTTCCCATTGCGGGCAGTGAGGATGCAATGTTTCACCGTGGCCATGAGGACGAAGCTGAGCGGACCGATCATCCGGAGCTTGCTGTCGAGATCGGTCGCCACCAGGATCGTGCAGAGCGTGCATGGGACCAGCAGGAATCCTATAAGGAAGTAACTGTTTATTATCAGGATCACACAGCTAATCTTCTCCGTTGTGGTTTCGCAGAGAGACAGCGGCCAAGCGCCGATCGGTTTCAACAGCCAACGGTTCAACTGGATACTGTAGTACCAGCCATCCGTCGTGGGTTCAAAGGGTCTTAATATCGAACGATCATGCATGGCAATGACTATATCGCAACGACACTCGCCGACGACTGAGCGTGTTTGCCGAGAGTGGACTGATCAATATCGAACGTGCGCATGTGCGTCTTCCGACCACTCCTGAGAAATCGTACGTGAACGCAATGATTCCTGCTCAACCTTTCCCGTCCGGACATTTCATTATTAACGATATACGTCGGGGGTTTGTGATTCTTGGAACACCGTTGCGTGATGCGTGCGAGCGATCTTGATGGGATGCAAGGTAAGGAAGCGAATACGCCAGAAAGGGTTCTTGTGCTATTTTTGCTATTCGCGATAGAAGGGGAATATGTAATGTGACTCGGACCCCGCCGGTCAGTGGATGTTCGTCCCTACCCCGGCCGGTGGGATGGTCGTGCGGTGTCCCTGGTCGACCGTGTTCGGTTGGCCCTGGCGTAGCTCACCGGATGCCCAAGCGTTCTTGTATGTGTGCGGGTGTAGGTATATGAGCGAGTGAGCGAGTGAGTGAGCGAATGTATAATAAAAGCTGTTTATTAAATTATCCCACGTTGTTGGATACAAGATAATCTTATCGACGGGCTGTGCTTTAATCTCGGTGTTTCACACCAGTAATATTCGGATGACAATATTGGCGACGGAATCCCGTGTTTACGTGGTGACGTCGGCTTGGTTGTTGTTATTTCCCGGAATCTATCGGGAGCAGTCGTGACGTTCGGCCCGTGGAGCTCGCGGTGTTAGCGGCGAGCGGGCGCGGAGTTGACGTTCGGCGCGGTAGGTTTCGCGGTGTTTAAATTCGACGGTTTCGCATCGAAGTGCAAGGCGGCGGAATGCACCTGCTAGACTCGGCGTCACGGTACGCGGGTCGCGGTGGTTGCAGCACGTGGAGTGCTCGCGTCGGTCGACTGCCGAAGCGGAGGGCACGCGGTATCGCGCCTCCTTACAGGAGCGGTGGAGTCGGCCGGGCGAGCCTGGCCGACGTGTAGTCGGCGGCGGTAGTTTCTCGGTTGCGCGGCGGTCGTTGGTACCTCCGGTGAGGTGCGGCGGAGAGACACGCGTTGTCTCTAGATTCGCGACGCGGTACGCGGAACGATACTCCGGGGCGTTCGCATGCCCCGGAGGCGCAAGACCCGGTGACCAGAGTGGAGTGGCCGAGGTCGAGAATACTCGACAGAGGCGGCGAACACACCGTCCTTACTCGTGCCGATCCCCAAGTCCGTCACGGGCAAGAGGGCCGGGAGCTCCCGGTGGAGACGGCGAACACACCGTCCCGAGATGGAAGTTGAGGAGTCCGGTGCCCGCGACTTCCACGGGAGAGACAGCGTACGCACTACCTTAGACTTTCCGGATGGAAGGATGTCGAGTCGGCTGCGAACTCACAGCAGTGACGGCGTACACACCGTCGCTGTCTCTCGACCTGGGGATCGGGATCCGGAGCAGCTACGATCTTACGATCCGGCTGACTCCGGCGGAATCAGGTCTCGATATTGCGGCGGAGCGGTCTTTTATATCGCGCTTCGCGGTTTTTCCGACACGTGTGTTTGGCAACAAACAAATGTTGTTGCCTACGTGTGCACATGTCGGCTGTGTGCTCCGCGTGTGAATTGTTTATTGTTGGCGCTGAGCGCCGTTTGGCAGCCGACGGATGGTCGGTCGGCCGCGGTCTTCGCCGGGAGGGAATGCATCGTTACAGTAATGCAACGGGATCACGTTTTCTACTTTGTAGTTTCTCCGGCGTATCGAGTACCCGCGACTATCTGGTCTGTTCATTTTTTTTATTTCCTACATTTACAGTATTCCCCATAGTTCCATTGATGTAGATTACAGTCAGTGACGGTGTGATGTATGTAACAATGAGTGTAATGAAAGTAAATGTCTTTCTGAATGAATGTATTTTGGTGACTATAATTATGTGCAACATGTAAAAGGTACATATAATGAAGACATTCGCTTTATTTCACTCTTCTACAAGTATGCTAAGTATAACAATCTATGAGGTCATTTGTCGTAGCATGTTTAAATACGTTACCGATGCCTTCATAACCTATAAACAAGAATTGCGCTATATCTTCGATTTGAAATAAATTTGTGTTTCTAAAACGATTGTAAAAAATTACGTTAATTCCAACAATATGTAACGTGACAACTTTCTTTTTCTTTAAACATTTCAGCGCTTTGAATCCATGAACAACATACGAAACTTACATTCCCAAATGTGTACAAAGACAAATCGACCATTTTGCCGGCGGTAAGATTGATGTTGAAATTGCACCTCATATTTATCAGAAGAAGACCGAGAGCAGTTTTCGGAGGTAGACGATACCATTCCGTTACGTAAGTCGCCATACCAACTCGTCGATACTATTATAGGATTTAATGTCATACTTCTAAGTCGAAGTTGAAATATAATACTTATCATTATCATGCAATAAATATGCGTGATAACATGTGGGGATGTTTTTTATTTCTTAATATTATTTTCATAAAATTATACGCTAATAAAAATGTTGTGTTACCTGTTCGCTGAGAATTTCTGCAATATAACAAATTATAAAAATATTCATTGTAAAAGATGAGGCTATCACACAATACGTTGGAATACTTTCTTTTTTGTCTTGATTCCATGCCTGAAAATTTCATATGTAATTCACAACATAACCATGTAGTTATAATTTTTTTTGCTTATGTATAGCAAGTGCTGCTTTTTTATTTCTATATGACTATTTTGATTATTGCATGTAATTCGTCAACCGTTGTGCAATTTGTTAAAATATATTCTGTATTAAATTTCGAAATTTTTCTTAATTCTATTTAACATAAAATAATAGAAGAATATGCGTGGATATACAATCTCAGTGAAATTTATTTCAACATCACTATTACGATTATTGCTATTAATTAATCTACCATTATATATTTCTGCATTCTGCAATTTCTAAACTCCTTCTAATTCTGTTAGCATACCGTAATAATACAATATCCGGCGAGACATAATGTTAGCGAACCTCCAACCAATTCCACTAGACATGTCAAATATATTATTTTTTCTATGTGAGACACAAAACTGCAAATATATATTTAATGCAAACAAACGTTTATGTGTAAATTTTGTAAGAATAGATGTTTCAACTTTATATATTATATGTCATGATTACTAGCCGAAGTAACAGAGAAAGTTATTTGTGTTGAAACACTGGAAGTATTGTTGTTGAATGTAATAAAATAATTAAAAAGACGTAAATAATTAGAATAATTAAAATAATGAGAAGGGTGAATTTTGCCTCCTTACTTTAATACCCGTAAATGATGTTCTACAATGAAGCCTAGCTTTTCCTGTATTGTGCGACCATCGACAATATTGTCATTGTGTATAATATCTCCAATCCACAATATTAAGATCTTGAGCTGCCCACACGCATGCATCACAAATGTTGCCATTAGACCGCAGTTGACGCTAGTGACACCGCTGACAAGAAAGGACCCTATGATTTGCATAACAAACACCACGTCATACACCGGTCTGAAACGCGTGTCTAGGATTTCGTTGTAGGACGGAAAGGGTAGTTCGCAAATTGAGACACTGACGTTATCCACATCCACGACATTTTTCATGAAACACTTGCTGATGTTATAAGATTGTACGGCGCCGTGCATGAATGTGGCAATGAAAGTTGCCATGAAGCGACCGACCTTAGCGTCCTTCAGCATCACCTCGTGATCTTTGTTGCTTCTCACGGTATTCCAATGCAGCTCAATGCTATCCACGCAGTTGCGTATGTCGTCGATATGTAACACCAGGCAGATGTACTTTAAGAGCGCCATGAGATGGCCTATGAAGGGACCGATGTTCATCATCATTAATATTGTATCTTCGCGTTCCTCGATAAAGGTACCTAGACCGATGTTCAACACAGCGATGAATAACAGCGAAAAACATGTAAGTCTTGAAAATTTTGAGAAGACTCGATCGACAGTTGACACATTGTGCGAGTGAGGCCAGAGGCATATTGATTTTAGCAACCAACGAATTATCCGAATATCGCGTTCTTTGTCAGCTAAATAAGTGGTGACGGTGAAGGACTCGCGATCGTTCATAGTATCGTCTATGGGGTTGTCCATGGTCACTCACTGAAGATGGTCTGATCACTGAACGGTCGCTTTACTGTTATCCTTCGATACGTAACGCTTGCGGAATAGCGCTTGCGCGGTGATTGCGCGCTATACAATGTTGAAGGTGGCCTGGGTATTTTCAGAACAGCGTGCAGCTCTTGCGGCAACAGGTAGAAGTAGCACATAATCGATACCTGGAGCTGAGGTTTCCTGTGCCGGATATTATAGTTTCGTGCACGCAACTTTATATACATCGCAGCTATTGTGTTTTGGTAAGAAGTTAATAAATTGATGTAACAAATAAATTAACAGTTTGCGACATTAAATAAACAGTTTGCACTATCTAAAATGTTTAATTTCCCTCGCGATTATTTTTAATCGGAGACTATTTATTTTTCTTCTATATGCACAATAACAGTTTATACAGCTATTTGTCGTAGCATATTTAAATAAGTCATCGATGCCTTCAAAACCTGTAAATAAAATCAGCATTATATCTTTCTTTAATAAAGTTTCTTTCAGAAAATGTTTGCCACCTCCCTTAAATTATAATAATGATATATATTGCTAAATGGACGATAGATAAAACTTACATTTCCAAACGTGAACAAAGACAACTCAATCATCTTTCCGGCGGTAAGATTGACATTGAAATTGCACCTCATATTTATCAAAAGAAGACCAATCGCAGTTTTTGGGGGTAAACGATACTATTCCGTCATGTAAGTTGCCATACCAACTCGTCTGAACTACTATACTTCATGTCATATTCATATTTACGTCGGTGCTTGGGCGGTAATTATAAATATTACGTATAAATTGTGCAACAATATTATATAGGAATTCTGCATTGCGCTGTACAATTTTTACAAAATTATATGAATTACTAATAAGAATTCCGTGTTACCTGTTCGCTGAGAACTTCGGCAATGTAACAAATTATAAAAATATTCAATATAACGGAAACTACTATTACAGAATATACTGGAATATTTTCTGTTTCGGCCTTATGCCACGCCTGAAAAATTCATATGTAACTTACAACGGGATCGCATCACAATTTTATCATTTATGTATAGTAAACACTTATTAAATGTTATTATCATTTTAATTCTACATTTCTGTTTCGAAAATTGCTATGATATTAATCAACCATTGTATAATTTTTTAACATACATTCTATATTAGATTTTTAAATTCTAATTCTTTAGCATACCGTAAGACAACAGTATCCGGCGAAACATAATAATATCGAACCTCCAAGCAATTCAACAAGGCATGTCAAATACATTATATTTTCAGTATGAGACACAAATCTGCAAATATATTTTCAATATGTTACGATCACTAGGGAAAAGAAGCAGAGATAGCTAATTGTATTGACAATTGTATAACACCGGAAATGTTTCTGGGGGACACCCCATAAATAATAATACTAAAATTTTACATATTTAAAAGATATATATGTCCATGATATAAGAAACATTATAAACTTTTTTAAAGCGTTAGGCTGTCATTAAATAACAATTATGAAAGATTATTTAAAATTGTCATAAAAAAATCATGAAAGGAGACTATCTAAATGATCAGAATAATTAGAATTGTTATAAAGATAAATTTTGCCATCTTACTTTATCACCTGTAGATGATGTTCGACGATAAAGCCCAGCTTTTGCTGTACCGTGCTGATATCAATAACATCATCCTCCTGCACAATATCGCCTAGCCATTGTATTAAAATCTTGAGCTGTCCACATGCATGCATTACTAAAATTGCCATCAGTCCGCAATTGACATTGGTGATATTGCACAGTAGAAAACCCGATACAAAATGTATAACCAAGACTATTTCATACGCCGGACTGAAGCGCGTGTCCACGATCTCATTATAGAACGGATAGGGTAATCCGCGAGTCAAAACACTGACATTATCCACATTCACGACAGTTTTCATGAAGCATCTGGTGATGTTATAGGATTGTATGGTGCAGTATACAAATAGAGTGATGCAAGTCGCTACGAAGCGACCGATCTTGGCGTCCTTCAGCATCACTTCGTAATCTTCGACGGTTTTCACGATATCCCAATCGAGCTCAATGCAATCTATGCATTTGCGTATGTCGTCGACATGCACTATCAGGCAAGTATACTTCATAACTGTCATGAGAAGGTATACGAAGGGTCCCATGTTTATCATCATCACGTCCATATCTTCACGTTTCTCGACAAAAATAACTAAACCCATGCTCACTATTGTCATGAATAACAAAGAGAAACATGTGAATATTAAAAATTCCGAGAGCACTCGGTCTACGATGGAAGCTTTGCCTGAACGAGGCCAGAGACATATTGATTTCAGCAACCAACGGATTAGCCGAATATCATGTTCTTTATTGGCCAGATAAGTGGTAACGATGAAGGAGTTGCGACCGTTTATGGGATCGCCCATGATCACTCAGTGAACGTGGTTCGATTACTGAGTGGTTGCTTCATTGTCAGTCTTCGGTAGGTAACGATTGGAATAACGCTTGCGCGGAAATTGCACGCACGTACGAGTTGAGAGTGTCTTGTGTTTGCTGTATATTCTCACGGTGATGTGCAGCTGTGTGTGCGGCAATAGGTAGAAGTAGCACATAATCGATACTTGAAGCTGAAGTTTCGTGCGTCAAGTATTACAGTTTCGTGCACGCAACCTTGCATAAATGCCATATGATGTTTCGTGATTACGTAAGATAAAATAAATTGTTACTTTTGTTAGGAAAATATGACATGATTCAATGGCACATAAATACTATGTTATCATATATTTAATTTTTATTAAAAATATTTTCTAGAATTGTGTTATTATGATATTCGGTAGCGAGGAGGCTCCTCAGCAGACACCAACTAATAGTAACATCAATATCAATATTATAATTTCCCACTCAACAATGAAAATACAATATAATGCGCGTGTTATGTAACAATTATACGAGGTCTGGCTATTAAATAACGAGACTGCGCACGCATAAGTCGTCCTAGAGGGGTAGGGGGAAAACGAATGCAGCGTTGGATAGGTGGAAGTGTCTACTATTCCAGTACGAAAACTCGTTTTTGTCTCTGTAGCAGTATTTTTTCTATAGAGGTTAGAAACAAACGTGTTTTTTTCTCGTGCCGATAACAATGTGTGACGAAAAACACGAGCAACGGATCAATGTGAAGTTTCTCGTCGAATTAAAAAAACTCCGACTGAGTGCTATAACTTGTTGAAAGAGGCCTATGGTGAGAATTCTCTATCTCATGCGTGTATTTTCGAATGGTATAAACGGTTTTCTGAAGGCTGAGAGAGCACCGAAGATGACCAACGTCCAGTCGACCTGTCTCTGTTTCAACTCGGCAAACAGTGACCAAAATCAATGAAATTGTGCGCGGAGATCGTCGTATNTGGAAGTGTCTACTATTCCAGTACGAAACCTCGTTTTTGTCTCTGTAGCAGTATTTTTTCTATAGAGGTTAGAAACAAACGTGTTTTTTTCTCGTGCCGATAACAATGTGTGACGAAAAACACGAGCAACGGATCAATGTGAAGTTTCTCGTCGAATTAAAAAAACTCCGACTGAGTGCTATAACTTGTTGAAAGAGGCCTATGGTGAGAATTCTCTATCTCATGCGTGTATTTTCGAATGGTATAAACGGTTTTCTGAAGGCTGAGAGAGCACCGAAGATGACCAACGTCCAGTCGACCTGTCTCTGTTTCAACTCGGCAAACAGTGACCAAAATCAATGAAATTGTGCGCGGAGATCGTCGTATGAGCATTAGGATGATTGCTGAGACTGTAAACGCCGATAAAGAAACTGTCAGAAAAATTTTACATGACGAATTGAACATGAAGAAAGTCTGTGCGAAGTTGGTCCCAAAAAATTTGACCAAAAGTTCGTCCGTCAACAGATCTGCTCAGATTTTCTTGAGAAGTTAGATGAAGAGCCTGAATTGATGGAAAACATCATCACTTGCGATGAAACTTGAATATTCCAATACGATGTTGAAACTAAGCGGAAATCCATGCACTGGAAAACTCCTGCATCCCCAAGAATGAAAAAAGCAAAGATGTCGAAATCAAAATTTAAAGCCATGCTAATCGTTTTTTTCGACATCAACGGCATCGTGATGACTGAATGGGTTCCAGAGGGTCAAACTGTAAGCCAAACTTACTATTTGAAAGTTTTGGCAATACTGCGAGAGCGAGTTCGTAAGAAACGGCCGGAGTTGTGGAAAAACAAGTCGTGGATCTTGGACCAGGACAATGCACCTGCCCATAACGCGCTGTCTGTAAAGCGTTATTTAGCCATTAGAGGCACTCCAGTGTTCGAACACGCGCCGTACTCGCCTGATTTAGCACCCTGTGACTTTTTCCTGTTTCCAAAGATCAAGTCTGTCTTAAAAGGAACCCGGTTCGAGTCGATGGAAGAGGTGAAGCGAAAATCGGTGGAACTCCTAAATACACTTACAAAAGAAGACTTCCAGCATTGTTTTGACCAATGGAAAAAACGAATGGAACGGTGTGTGGCGAGGGGAGGGGAGGGGAATACATTGAAGGGGAGCATTCGATTGTAGAATAATTTTTAAAATGAAACTCTTTTTCATAAGCAGTCTCGTTATTTAATAGCCAGACCTCGTATTGTGAAATGTGAAATTCTAGCATTGATATTATGTTACTGTTATTTGGTGCTTGCTAGGTATTCTATCAGAATTTAAAAATGATGGTGTATCAAATAAGTTTAAATAATCCGTTTTCACGATCTGAACTACTTGATTTTTCTCGTGTTTATTACCCTTATGCAATGTGATAAACACTTCGTTGATTTCTATACTCACGCTGCCGAAATTGGCCATGAATTTGCCGGTTGAGTTTGTTTGTAGAAATAGACTTGGACATCTTTAGTGTCAAACCGAGCTCTCCTTTACTTAGTAGATGGTATCGGTTTATCACGTAAGATTTTATCCTGATCTGTATTCACTATTAAAATAAAATACGAACGCTGATTCGCAAAAATATATTCCAACATTTTTATCTCGCGTTTATCAATTCGAAGACTATTTATTTCACTTCTATATGCATGGTAGGTATAACAGTCTATATAGTCATTTGTCGTAGTAAGTTTAAATAAGTCATCGATGCCTTCATAACCTATAAGCAAGACAAAGACTTATATTTTCTTACATAAATTAGTGTTTCTAAAAGATTTCAAAAATATATGTCTATTGCAACATGTAATATGACAGATTAATTTTATTTAATTTTAAAACTTAATTTCTGTAATTTTTTTCAGCGCTATGAATCCATGAAATCAGACGAAACATACATTCCCAAACGTGTACAAAGACAACTCGATCATTTTGCCGGCGGTAAGATTGACATTGAAATTGCACCTCAAATTTATCAAGAGAAGACCAAGAGCAATTTTTGGAGGTATACGATACCACTCCGTCATATAAGTCGCCATACCAAGTCGTCTGTACTATTATAGGATTTAATGTCACACTCCTGCTTGTGCCGAAGTTTAAACGATCTTTATCATTATTATGTATTAATTGTGTATAATAATATTATGTTGGAAGTTTTATTATAAAAGTTCTCTATTCCGTAATATTATTTTGATAAATTTATGCGGATCACTGATAAAAATTCTGTGTTACCTGTTCGCTGAGAATTTCTGCAATATAGCAAATTATAAAAATATTCATCGTAAAAGATGAGCCTATTATACAATATGTCGGGATACTTTCTTTTTTGTCCTCACTCCATGCCTGAAAAATGCAGATGTAACTCGTGACAAGATCGGGTCGTTATAATTTTATCGTTTCCGCGCAGCAACCATTCATACAATGCTGCTATTTTACTTCTATATGACTATTTCGATTATTGCTATTAGCTAATTCGTTTTTCACGTTGTGAAAGTCATTAATATACATTTTATATTAAATTTCAAAATTATGTTTCTATTTCTGCTTAGCATACCATGATAGAACAGTATCCGAACAGACACAATGTCAGAGAACTTCCTACTAGTTCCACGAAACATGTTAAATATATTACTTCTTCTATATGAGACACAAAACTGCAAATATATATGCAATATATTACAATCACTAGAATAAAATAACAAAGAAAATTATTTATGTTGTAAACTAAAAGTTCTGCTACTGAATGGGATAAAGTAATTAAGTTTTAAATGCATGTTATATCTAATTTATTATAACGTCATTTCATTATTTAAATGATATATAAATCCATAATATATGATATAATATAATAAACATAATATAATATAATAAATATTATAAAACTTTTTGAAAGTATCGCGCGCTCATTACAGCCATTGACAAAGATTACTTAAAACTGTAATAAAAAGTTTACGAAAAGAGTATCTACATGATCGGAATGAATAGCTACGAAGATAAATTTTGCCTCCTTACTTCATCACCTGTAAATGATGTTCGACGACAAGGCCTAGCTTTTGCTGCACCATGCAGACGTCAACATCATCCTTGTGCACAATATCGCGTAACCACAGCGTTAGGATCTTTAACTGTCCAGACGCGTGCATCACTAAGATCGCCATTAAACCGCAGCTGACAATGGTGATGCCGCATACGAGAAAAGACGACAAATATTGTACAACCAAGACCACCTCATACGCCGGGCTGAAACGCGCGTCCAAAATCTCGTTGGAGAATGGATAGGGTAGCTCGCGAATCGAGACACTGACATTATCCACGACCATGATATTTTTTATTAAACACCTGGTGACGATATAAGATTGTCCGGAGCTGTGCATGAACACAGCGATGGTGGTCGCTATGAGGCGACCGATCTTGGCGTTTTTCATCATCACTTCGTGATCCTCGTTACATCTCACGGAATCCCAGTGTAACTCAATGCAATCCACGCAGCTGCGTATGTCGTCGACGTGCAATACGAGGCAAATATACTTCATCATGGCCATGATAAAGCATATAAAGGAACCGATGTGTGTCATCATCAGGTTCATATTTCCACGTTCCTCGACGAAGATAACTAGACCGATGTTTAACATTGTGATAAATAACAGTGAGAAACACGTAAGTCTTAGTAATTCCGAGAGGACTCGGTCGACATTCGATGCTTTGCTCGAGCCAGGCCAGAGACATATCGATTTCAGCAACCAACGGATTAACCGAATGTCGCGTTCTTTTTCGGCCAAATAAGTAGTGACAGCAAAGGATACGCGATCAGCCGCAGGATCGCCCATGATCGCCCAGTGAAGGTGGTCTAATCACTGAACGGTCGCTTCACTGTCATCCTTCGATACGTAACAATTGGAATAGCGCTTGCGCGGAGATTGCACGCACATACAATGTTGAGGGTGTCTTGTGTTTGCTGTATATTCTTACGGTAATGTGCAGCTGTTGCGGCAACAGGTAGAAGTAGCGCATAATCGATACTTGGAGCTGAAGTTTCGTGCGCCGAGCATTACAGTTTCGTGCACTCAACTTTACATAAATCGCATGCATTGTGACTCATGAGCTAGTAAAATAAAATCGTCTTTACTTTCGTCAATGAAATATCAATAAAATTTCTTTGATCGATGTGATATTCGGTCAGATTATAAGATATATATATATATATTTTGTAAGTTTGAAGAACTTCTTACATATAAATTTCATTCTGCTTTCAAGTGTATTTCTTTCTATTTGATAGTTTATACATTACATCGTTGATCTTTTCTCAATAATAAATAAAATATTATGTATTATTTAATTGCTTAGTTGCTCACTTTTTTGTTGACACATTTTTAATAGAAAAAAATATAAATATTCCTACATAATAAGGGTACGAAGTATGTTCAAATATGCTAACGCAGATTTAATTACCTGAAACAATTATTAGTCGCACGTGTTCTCCGTCATAATAAAAATATGTTTATCTAGCTGCTTAGTGATTTTAAGAGAAGCTATCTAACGATATTTTTACGAAACATATCTTTATGCGTATTCGTATCTATTTATATGATATATTATACGTGTAAACTACAAACTTGCAAATCAAAGGATATCCTTCCACATACTTACAGAACCGAACGTAGAGAGGGAGAGCTCAATCATTTTTCCAGCAGTAATTTTGATCACGATGCTGGATTTCAAAATTATCAAAACGAGGCCAAGGGCCGTGTTTCCAGGTAAAACATACCAATCTGTCATGTAAGCGATTTCGCCGACTTGGCCGCACTGTTAGAGGCCGTTTTATATATCTATTATAATCAAAGTTCGGGAGGTATTGTCCCTTGCGGCCGACCTTTTCATTCAGGCGCTTGCTAGCGGACGAGCATTGAGAAGTCTGTTGATTTTTGCACTGTTATTCTCGAGGCTAGATCGTCAGTCTGAATGGAAAAATCGGCTGTAAGAGACTGTGACGTCCGAGTTTTGGTTATAATTAAAAAGAAACAGCGGCACAATCATGTGTCAGTGAAACTAATGCGACAAATTAATGAATGATGAATCGAATAGTTGGTCGAGAAGTGAAATCTCGAATATTTTACCAAACACTGCCGTTATACGGTTACCTGCTCGGAAAGGATTTCTCCGATGTAACAAAATATAAAGATGTTGAAAGTAACTGAGACCAATATTATGCAATACGCCACTATATTTTGCTTGTCGCCTTGATTCCACTCCTAAAACGATTTACGAATTCATACGAGCGACAAATAGCGAACGATCAAATATCGGCGTAATCCTCGCACGGTTCGCGTACCGTAATGCAGTAGTAGCCCAAGAGACACATATGTAGCGTGCACCCTGCTATTTCCACGAGACAAGTTATACTTGTAATTTTCTCTAAGCGAGACACAAGACTACAAACATATTTGTAAACATGATGAATTCGTTAAAATATGCATAAGTGATCGTTTACATATTTTCTCTTTCATGCTCGCTTCATAAACAGATTTATATTAAAACATTTCAACACGTGTTCACAATACATCAGGTTGATAAACTCACAATGATAAAAGATAGTGCCAACATATTTTATCAAAAGTCATATTTAGCATATCAGAGGAGAAGATGGTATTACAGCCGCTAGTTATATTTTCTTTAATAATTTCGTTAATAGTCAATATTTTTAATTCAAAACTAAACGATTACATTTATCAAAATATTGTTGAACCGATTCTAGACTCACAGTTATGAAATATTTATTACTCAGGACGTTATTTATAAAAATGTGGCGACGCTGTATAATGGATCGAAAAGGATGGTAATGTGGTCTCCACTAAAATAAATTAGAATATAGATATTAAGAGGGGCCATTCTACCTATAAGAGTTATAATACTACCTTCCCCTCTACTAAATAATAAGTTAACTTTATCCAAACACACGTATGTCATATAAAAAAATGCGGAAATCTGCATTTAAAATATTCACTCAAGTCTTACCTTAGTACTCTCAAATGATGTTCCACGATGACGGCAAACTTTTGCTTCACGGAGCTCCTCTTTTCACTCTCTTCACTCGTGAGATTGTCCAAGAGGGACATGAGAATCTTCAATTGGCCGCAGGCGTGCATGACGAAAACGGCGGTGATACTGCAAGTGGCTACTGCCACCGAATTCACCACGAAAGTAGAAAGGAACTGCATCGCGAACACTAACTCATACGCCGGACTCGTCGTAATGTCCACGATCTTGTCGTAGAACGCGAAGGGTAGCGCGTGCATCGTTGACACGTTGCCTCCCGCAGCGGACTTTTCCACCGTCAATGCCTGGAAAATGCTGTAGGAGAAGACGCCGCTGTGCATGAATATGGCGGAGAACAGAGCGATGAAGCGACCGATCCGGGCATTCTTCAGCATCACCTCTCGGTCCTCGTTCTTTGTCACCGCCCTCCAGTCGCTCTCGACGTGCTCGACGCACAGGTGAATGTCACCGACGCGCGTCAGCAACGAGCAGTACTTGAGACTCGCCAGCATCCAATTGCTGAGGGGGCCGAATTCGTGCACTTTCGTCTGTATGTCTTTGCTCTCGTCCAAGAAGATGCCTAACGCACAAGGCACCATAGTGCCGACGATCAGAAAGGCGCACGTTATCAGCAAAAAGTCCGACAAAATTCTCTCTTTGATCGACGAGTCCGCCACGGGCCAAACGCTTATCGGCTTTAGCAGCCAGCGAATCGGCTGTATGCTGTACTCGTTGTCCTCCATGTAACTCAGCGCGATCGGAGATCGTTCCCGCGAGACGTCCCTCATGTTCGTTTCGTAAACGCGCGGGCACGATTGAGAACACAGTCGCGCGGGGACTATACGAAACGCACGGGAGGTGATAATCCACGCGTGCGCATTGTATGCCGACTGCACTTTTGTACACAGCACAACTCGGGTGATCGATATTTACTGTGGCAGTGATTTCATATGATGGTGAGTTTATCGTAGGGTAGAAATGAAATTATAGCAAATTGCCGGGCCGCCTCATCGCGCGCACGATCCCTTCGTTTTTCCCTCTCTTTTTCGCTTTTAAAACTGTTATGGGGTCTGTAACAAACTGAACTTATCAAACTTCTCTCTCTCTCTCTCTCTCTCTCTCTCTCTCTCTTTCTCTTTGCAGAACATGAAACACTCCTCAAATGAAAGGATGTAGCTATACCTTTAGAACTATCCTGTTCAATTCAAGTTGAACTAGAACGTGTGCGACACTACTTTCTCAACTCTTAAGCCGATATTCATAGTGGGAATTTATAATTAAGACCGGTCTTAGATTTAAGACCGTCTTAAGTTGATCTTCAGATGCTCTACGGCCCATCTCATTAGCTACGAAGATCTGAAGATAAACTTAAGGCAGTATTATATATCCGATTATGAATACCGCTCTTAACTACTTTTTTTAAAAGACACGTTACATTTTTACTTGTGCAAAGCAATCATTGTAAGCCTTTCTCTCGAATGTTCTTAAGAATCAAGCACCAGAACGATAAGAAGCACATATATACATATATATTAGGCCGAATATAATAATAATAAACTGAAATATAATAATAATAATAATAATAGGTCGAAAATAATAGTAATTATTTACATCATTATCTGATAAACTTATTCCTATTTTACCTGTCTTTATGATTCGTTCGAGATATAGTCAGAAGAAATAAAACAATTCAATGGCCGCATATATATCGATTAGTTCCAAAAAAGGGTGGAACTTTGTTCTAATCAATACACGAATAAAACTGGCGTAGGTTATTGCACCGAAATAATCAACTGTCGCAAAAGGAATGCAATAGGTATAAGCAAGAAAGCATAACTGCTTTCAAATTTGCGTTTATAGCAGTACAAAGAATTGCAGAGAGTACCTCTTTTTCTTATTAATAAAAGTTATCAAATATTCCACCTATTTAATATTTTAACTATTTTACACAAAATATGTTTTCGTCACATTCTTTAACATATTATATTTTACATAGCCACTGTCCGTAATATATTTAAATACACTACGGAAGTCTTGACTACCTGAAATAATGATGTACGGCGTCAAAAAACAATCTCTCTTCGTTTGGTTGCCCGAGTGATACTCGCGAATATAGGAATACGGGTAGCCAAGTAGTATCCGTGTACACCTGGCGCGAGTACACAGATACTCGCGAATATAGATGTAACTCGGATATCCAGATTCCCGGGTAGTACACGGGTATAAAACTGACATGACCGGGTCATACTGACAGCATTATAGACATATATATATATATATATATATATATATATACATCATAAGTATTTCATAAATTAAAAGTTTCAAAAATATATAAACAAACGGATGTATTTACGAGTACTACATATTTGTTACTTACCTCGCCGAAAGTGGTGATAGACAAATGAAATAGCTTGCCCGCAGTTATTTTAATCACATTACTCGATCGTGCAATTATCAAAACAAGACCAAGCGCAGTTTTGTGACGAAGTTTATACCAATTAGTCATATATGCCATATCTCCAACATTTCTACACTAATAAATAGATATAGATATTTTGAAAATTTCTGTGAATGCATAAATCTGAAGATTACGTTTAAAATGTTAGTATAATTAAATATCGCGAAACATCAGCATAAATATTATATTTTTCTAGATAGATATATGATTGAAATAAGAAATATGTACATATGTACATATGTACATATGTACATATTGGAAGATACAAAACATATATTGTAATATTTCTCATTTCCAGTGTAAAATTATCACAAGAAACGGATTAAGCAAACAATTTCATTCACTGTATTACCTGCTCGGTGAGAATCTCGCCGATATAGCAAAATATTAAAATATTAAAACTCATCGATAAATAAACAATAATATACAATATTATTTTTGTTGCATCAATCTCAGCCCAATTCTAAAAAATCAAAGTGCAAGTTTATGTACAGAAGGAAATTAACTAAATTTTTTTATTTTTACACTACGATCCAGTAGTGTTAAATTCTTTGTATACGAAACAAACATTTCGTTTTCAATGTACCTCAAGTAATAAATTTTTTTTTTCAGATAATTAGCATACCATGAGAGCATAATATCCAACTAAACACATATTAATTGTGCATCCCATCAATTCCACGAGACAGGCTTTATGCATAATACTCTCTATGCGGGCAATAAAACTGCAATAAATATGAATAATTAAAAAGTGCACAGATATGATAAGGCGACGAAGGAGGAATGTACGTCGAACTCCGATGCAACATTAAGCATGTCAATGTGAATTAACACTGAGTGTATTCAAAGCTTAACAGTTAGGCAAAAGTACCTCAGAACCCTCAAGTGATGTTCCACGACAACAGTTAATTTCTTTTCAGCCAGATCTCCTTCATCGTGCTTCTCAGTGAGTTCGTTCAACCACTCGTAGAGCACATTCAGTTGACCGCAAGCGTGCATCGCAAAAACGGCAGCAAGACTGCAAACACACACCGTAGAGGCACTCGTGACATAAGTCGATGCGAACTGTATGGTCAGCATGATCTCATTCGTTGGGCTGAATCTCGCGTCGATGAGCTTTCGGTACGCCGGACACGTCATCGGATGCATGGTAATGGTCTGATTATCGATAACAACGGTTATCTTCTTCATTACCTTAGTCGCGCTAAAAAGCAGTGCGGCGCTCTGCATGAACACCGCGCATATCACGGTGATGAAGCGGCCGAACTTGGAGTACTGTATCATCAGTTCGCGATCTTCGGCCCTTCGTACGAGCCTCCAGTCTGTTTCCATGTGGTCTATGCAATCCCGCATATCGCCGGTTCGGCTGAGTAGCGTCCAATAATTAACCGTGCCCATCAACCTGTGAATCAACGGACCAGCGGTGTTCAGTTTCGTCTGGATGTCCTCCGTTTCGAAAAACACGTACAATAGGCACGGTATCGCGTTGATCGCCACCGTGGCCCAGAAAATGGGAATTAACACGAACGCGGACAACCTCTCCATTAAGGTCGACTTGCGTGTTTGCGGCCAAGCGCCGATTGATATTAGGAACCATCGGCTCAGTTGCAAACTGTAATCATTGTTTTCTGTCGACTCGTCATTACTTGGCACACGTTTGCAACCCATGATCGCTTCACGAAGGTGCGTAGCTTACTACTATGACGGGCCCGTGAAAAGAACGTTCGGATTGGGCACGGAGCAGAGGAAGGGCGAGTGTATGTCCGATCAATAATTATATGTCAAACGATTATATAGCTACTTGTTCTACGGGAGGACATTGTGTGCAGCCAATACGATGAGAGCGGATATGAAGTTGAACGAAAATGTGCGTCGATATGGTGAGTGTGTTTTCTCTATCATATTTGTGAAGCTACACGTGTTCATTTGGAGGGAAATTTAATGTTATTAGCGACAAGACAAGTAAGATTCCATGAGTTTTTAAATGTTGATAATGATGTTCAGGATGATCAGAGTATAACATTTCAAAAATAATTTTAAGTTCATATAAATATTGTGACAGGAACTAATTGCATTTCTAATTATACTTATATTGCATCTGGAGAACATACTTATTTTTTTTTATGTAAAACATGACGTATATACGATATCTAATTTAGTGCATTTCACATAGACATCGCTTGCAATGCATTCATATATGCTAAGGAAGTTTTAATTACCTGAAACAACAAAGTGTTTTGTTTCTACATGCGATACAGGAAGTGTTTCCAATGTTGAAGTTTCAAATGTTGAAAAATTAATTGAAACAATTGAAAAAAGTCGAAATATGAAATTTTTCGCCATATGATTATTGAATTTGATAATTTTATAATGCATATTACCAACAAGAGTGACGTAGTGCTTGTTACGTGATTCTTCATATAATATTGTTATTATATGACGAATTATATGACTTACGTCTCCAAACGTGGCGATAGACAAAGGAACTATTTTCCCTGCTGTTATCTTAATTACGTTATTTGACCGAACAATTACTAGTATGAAACTACGCGCTGTTTTGTGATCCAACTCGTACCAATTTGTCATATATGCCATTCGACCGACGTTCTTACACTAATAAATTAATACAACACTTTCAAATTCACTATGAGCATCTGAAGTTTTATAGTATGGCATAAAAATGTTAAGGTAGGCACGAATAAAATTAATTTAAATTTTCGTTCAAAAAATAGATTGTAACATTTTCTGAAAAAATAGTATGTAAAAATTATATATGAGAATCATTACTTTAATATGAATGTGTTACCTGTTCAGCGACTATCTCGCCGGTATAGCAAAATATAAAAATATTGAAGGCCATTGATATGTATATCGTAGAGTATGACGTTATTTTTGCTGTAGTGAGCACTCCCCAATTCTATAAAATCAAAATCTAAGTTCATTATCCTATATGAAGAGTGTGTAATTATAATTGTTTATCTGATTTTATAATTAAATAATTAAATAAAATATTTTATATATACATGTGAGTGTGTGACATAGCAAATTTAATTTTAATGAACTTCTAAGATATTTTCTTTTTCAGATAATTAGCATACCATAACGAAATAATATCCAATTAAACACATATTTAGCGTGCATCCTGCCAATTCCACAAAACAGGCTTTATACATAATATTCTCCATACGTGTTATAAAACTGAAACACATCTCTTTAGTTTTAATGTTTTAAGGTATTTAATTGTAGATGTGCATTTCTTTACGACATTCTACTTGTATACATAAATTTACTTAACAGAAATATACATTCCATAGCACTTTTGAAAGA